CTCCAAAGCCCCCTGCACTCACTCGTCCTGGCCCGGCCACCCCTCCAGCCGCCTCTCCTGGCCCACCTTGTTCAGCCACCCTGGCCAGGGGCTTCCTTTCAGCCCTGCGCCCAGTGGAGTTCTCTGTCCCACCACCGCTGGGCCACATACCCACCCCCAGGCCCTGCACCCACGTCGGGCCGCGCACCCACCCCCGGGCCCTGCACCCACCCCCGGGCCCTGCACCCACCCCCGGGCCCTGCACCCACCCCCGGCCCTGTACCCACGTCGGGCCATGCACTCACCCCCGGGCCCTGCACCCACCGCCGGCCCTGCACTCACGTCGGGCCGCACACTCACCCCCGGGCCCCCGCAGGCTCTGGTCACCACACATACAGTTCCAGCTCCAACATCTTCAATTCTTTTCTGCTTTATTTTCCCCACGGCTCCAGTGTGTGATGCCTTCGACCAGTTCATCTCGTCCACTCTGCTCACCGTGAGGGCCGGGCTCCATCCCTGGGCTCTGGGCCGTGAGCTCTCAGCACCCAGACCCTGCAGGGCTCCCGGCAGCTGCTCACGAGCCGGCAGCCCTGAGTCCGGCTACAGGGTGAGGCCCCACAGCTCGGCCACCTCGCCGGACCCTCGGTGGCTCCCTCCAGCCTGCATGGGGCGGTCCACACAGCGCGGCTGCCTGCCCGAGGCCACCAGGCCCCGGGGGGTGGGCACTTTCCCTGTGGTGATTGCAGGACGCTCCCCTGGCCGGCAGGGCACTGCACTGCTTGCTCATCCCTTTCAAAATCCACCTGGATATGTGAGGCCCTTTTCAGCCAGGGTAGATTCCACACCAAGTTTGCCAACCTCCTCTGAAGCTCTCGCCGGCTGCCATGGGCCTGGGGGAGCCGTACCCGTGTGTGATGCCACTTCCCTCTCCCAGTCCTTTGCACCCCTCCGGCCGCTGCTGGAGATGTGGGCATTTGCCACTCAGCTTCAACACAGCCGGAGACGTGGTATTTGTGGTTTTCCGGTGGGGTTCGAGGGTGGAAGAATGGCACTGACATGGGGCAGCTCCGGCCGGGGCTCTGCAGGGCTGTCCTGTCGAAACCCATGGGTTCAGTTGGGTTCTCTGCATAGGAGGTCATCTCTCCTACAGTCTTTTGTCCCCATGAGGGTGTCCCTGGGCCAATCTCATTCCAGGTCCTGCCTACGGACATTCAAGCACACGGTCGGTGCCCGTCCTGGCCACAGGCGTACCTGGGGGTGGATGTGTGTCCAGCACCCGGCAGGAGCTGTGCCCAGGGTGAGTGTCCAGCCCCGGGCAGCTGCCCTGCTTCCCCCACTGGTCCAGCATCCTCAAAATCATCCTCAGGTCTCTGCCCCCAGAACTTCAGGTGGTATCCCCGCCGCAGCGGTGGCATCTCTGTGCCTGGGCCAAGCAGGTGTCCTGGATCTCCAGTTGCTCCCAGAAGTCATCCAGCTGCCTGGGAGCTCAGAGCTGCTGCCTGCGCACACCCGAGGATGCGGCCGACCGTGGGGCCAGCTCCCAGCCCTAGTTCAGCCCCAACTGCCTCCTCCGGTGTGTTGGGGCCTGGGTGGGGCTTCTGGGTCCCCAGGAGCCCTGGATATAGCTACAGTGGGAGAGCTAGGAGAAAGCTAAGAAACCCCCAAGGGCACAGCCCACCCTCCATGGCCACAGACCCCCGGGGGCACAGCCGCCTTCCACAGCCACAGACCCCCAGGGGCACAGCCCGCCCTCTGCGGCCACAGACCCCTGAGGGCATAGCCCACCCTCCACAGCCACAGACCCCCAAGCCCTGTGTCTCTGTCTGTCTTGCTCCCCATGGCCAGAAGCCTCCCAGGTCCCCTCATCTGGGCAGAAACTGGCCCCACAGGCCCCCAAGCACATGGCAGGACACCCTTCTCCATCAGCCTGGGGGAAATTTTGGCTCCTGGAGGCCTGGCCCAGAATCGTGAGCCTCCAGCCTCTGCCAAGGCCAGACTCCAGGTGGCCTCCTGGCACGGGGACATGGGGGTTGGGCAGGGGCCTCCCGGGCCAGCCCTGGCCTCTTCCCACTCATGTCCAGGAGGAGTAGGGAGCAGGGGCAGGGTGGCCGAAGCCCAGGTGTTTGGGGCCACGCCCAGCACTGTGGCTCTTTCCGGAATGGTGCCTTGCATAACCAGGCCAGGGGCTGTGGTGACCCTGGCAGGGGCAGGAGATGGCTGCTCCCTCCCAGGGCTGCTATCTGGTTACGTTCCAGGAGGCCATGGGCCGAGCTCACCCCAGGGGGTGGAGGATTAGTCAGCAGCACCCACCCCACCCTGAGAGGAAGAGGAGGATTTCCAGGATACCTGATCCTCCCCGGGTGGGCACAGCGGTGTGGGTTAGGGTGCCCCTCGGCTGTGAGGTCAGGTGTCAGCTGAGCGCTGGAGCGGGAGGCTCTCACAGCCACCTACCCCACCCGCCTCTTCCTCTCAGGGTGGGGAGGGCGGCTGTGCTTCCCACCCGGCTGCCAAGGGGACACAGGCCTAGGCTGGAGAGTCCCCCAGCCCCACCTGCTCACCCCAGAAGTCAGGCTCTGAGGTCAGCCCGGCTGCCCAGGTGTCTGTGAGCCCACGGCTGGGCCAGGGTGGGTGGGCAGCTGGGGAGTACCCAATGCCAAACTGGCACCCCAGCCCCTAGCCCTGGCAGAGCCACTCCCAGACGAGGCCTCACCGCCTGGCTTTGGGTCAAAAACTCTGGTGCGGGGACGGGGCTGGCCTTGAGGGGCGTGGGCTGAGACTTAGGACCCGGCACCCAGTCTCTGCGGGGCCTGAGCCTGCTGGCGCCGGGGCTGACTGTGCTGCCACCTTGTGGCCGCTGCACCCCTGAGAATGGAAGGTGGGTTCCCCAGACCCCACCCGTGGGCGGCTGAAACGGAAGCAGTGGGAGGTGGGAGGTGCTGAAGTCTGGGAGGGCTGGGAAGAGCGCCCACCCAAACAGGAGCATGAGGCCTCTACGTCCACCTTGCTGACGGCAAACCTCCCACCAGCTCCCTGGCCACTCCACACCACACCAGGGTGCACAGGTCCCCGAGGCCCTTTCTGGCCCAAAGGGGCACTGGGGCCACCTGAGGCCATGGGAGCCCCAGGCAGGACCTTGAGCCCCAGAAAGTCCCCAGGTAGCCGGTGCCCACCACATCACCGCCACATCCCTGCCTCCCCTCTGGTCGCGGCTTCCCACATGCCTGCCCCACCATAGGGCGTCAGGGGCTCCAGACACTCCCAGGCCTTCCTGTATGGGCTGTAGACCCAGCCAGGGCCAACCGCAGCCCTCCCTGTCCTTCCCCCACCCTGCGCTGGCCCCATCTGGGCAGTGGGCTCTCCAGCCCCGCCTGGCTCAGCCTGGGCTCCTCCAGATCCCTCTGCCCGCTCCTGGGATGCGGGGTCAGTGCTGCCCATTCTCCTGGCGCTGCTATGTGGCCGAGGCAGGGCCCAGCCTAAGGCCAGTGTGTCCTGGGGCACTGCGGACTCCCTGGAGCCCTCCAAGGAGCATGCGCTGGGCATTGGGAACATGGAGGCTCCGGGAAGGGGGGTGGTCAGAGAGGACAAAGAGAGATGAGCTTCCAGGGCCCAGTCCACCCTCTTCAGAGTGACCCGCACCCTCCGTGGGGTTGTCGACCGCCCGCTTGCCTGCAGATGCTCTCAGGAGTGTGCACGCCCCAAGCTCGGCCGGGGACGGTGTGTCTAGGAGCTGCGCAGAGATGGAGCCCCCCCCAGGACACTGCCTTCACCAGGGGCAGCCCTCCTGTGTCAGGCCCACACTTGGGCTGCGAGGAGCCCTGGATGCCCGGGCTGTCCCCATTCCCCGCTGACTCCCTCCCTCACACATTCATCCAGTCACTCATGCACTCACTCCTTCACTCACTCACTCACTCATTAATTCACTCATTCTTTCACTTATTCACTCCTTCACTCAGTCACTCACTCATTCATTCTTTCACTTGCTCATTCACTCACTCCTTAACTCACTCACTCATCCACTCATTCTTTCACTCACTCATTCACTCACTCCTTAACTCACTCACTCATTCACTCACTCCTTAACTCACTCATTCACTCATTCATTCTTTCACTCACTCATTCACTCACTCCTTAACTCACTCACTCACTCCTTAACTCACTCATTCACTCATTCATTCTTTCACTCACTCATTCACTCACTCCTTAACTCACTCACTCATTCACTCATTCATTCTTTCACTCACTCATTCACTCCCTCCTTAACTCACTCACTCATTCACTCCCTCCTTAACTCACTCACTCATTCACTCACTCCTTAACTCACTCACTCATTCACTCATTCATTCTTTCACTCACTCATTCACTCCTTAACTCACTCACTCATTCACTCATTCATTCTTTCACTCACTCATTCACTCCTTAACTCACTCACTCATTCACTCATTCATTCTTTCACTTATTCACTCACTCCTTCACTCGTCACTCAGTCACCCACTCAGTCACTCATTCATTCACTTACTCCTTCACTCATTCTTTCACTCACTCATTCGCTCATTGATTCTTTCACTCACTCATTCACTCACTCACTCTTTCCTTACTCACTCATTCCTTCACTCATTCACTCATTCACTCATTCATTAACTCACTCATTCACTCACAGTTACTCATTCACTTATTCACTCGCTCATTCACTCACTCACTCATTCACTCACTGATTTATTCACTCATTCATTCTCTCACATTCTCACTCACTCACTTTGTGTTCTGACCAGATGCCACGTCCTCAGTGACCTCTGCAGGGTGGTGGTCTCCTCTTGGGGCAGATCCAAGCTCCAGCCTCTCCTCTCCAAGCAGATAAACACTACCCCACCAAGCCCACAGAGGCAGCAGCTCCCCCAGACAGTCCTCGTTGGCTGCCCAGTGCTGGGTGGCTGGCCAGAGGTGTGCACCCCCCAGGGCCTGGGTCTGCCCCCGCCCTGTTCCTGGGTTTTATGAACAAGCTCAAAAAGTGCACAGTTCACAAATTGCAAAATGCTCAAGTGTATTTATGCAGCCGATTGGCCACGTCCTGAGGAGGGGCGCAGGCCAAGAGCTGAGGTAGGAGTGAGGCTCTTCCTCCCGCAGCCCCCGGGCGGCTGACCACCATGTCCAAGTGTCATTCCTGAGCCCCTCGGCTGAGGCTCTAGTCCCAAGAACAGTGGGCTGGACACATGGGCCAGAGGCATCCACTGGCCCCGGGCTGGTCCTGAACGGTGGCTGCAGGCGGGGACGGGCCCCTCCTCCAGGCAGTGGTGACCACAGCCCAGACCCCCTGCGAGAGCGGGCGTGGACAGTGCATTCGAAGGCTGCAGCCACCTGAATGAGGGCACAGGTTCCACTGGCTTTGGAAGCTGAGCTGGGAGGACACTCAGGCGATTCTTCTTGGGGGTCGGGAGGACGGCAGTACTGCTCAGTTGATGGAGGACGCTGGGGCCCCTCTCTCCCAGCTCCCGCTCTCTGCCTCCTGGCTTTGCTCGGGTTCCGCCTCCTCCGAGTGCTGGGTGTCACCCGGTGCAGGGCACCGCTGGCCCGTGCAGCCGCACTCTTCCACCTCTGTGTAGCGGAAGGCCCGGCGGGAGCCGTCAGAGCAGTGCAGGGTCACGTTCCTCGGCGAGGTCCGTAGCTCCTGGCAGCACTGGCACCTGTGCTCCAGCACGTTAGCCTTGAGCGAGTACCTGCAGGCAGGGGCTGCTCAGCACCAACTACTGTGCCCGGGCCCCCAGCCCCCTGCCTCGAGCCGGCCCCGTGCTGCACTCCCTCTGGGCGGCCTCGCCCTGGTTGTTCCCAGCTCCTGGAGGCCGCTGAGGTTTCTGACAACAGCTCTCGTTTGCCATTCCCCTGGGCACCAGCACTGCCACCAGGGCCAACTCCAGCTCCGCGCTGACCGGAGGGAGGGAGACTAGGGCTCTGGGGCGAGTTTACTGGCAGAGCTCAACGGACAGAGCAAGCCATTCCGACACAGGCTCCGGGGCTGCAGTCACCCCAGCCCCGTCCGTGCCATCTCAGAGCCCCTTTCCCACCTCACCCCCAGCGCCCTCCGCCTGGCCCCTCTGGTCCTGCCCTGGGACTCCGACCGCACCCCATGGCCAGTGGCATCTCCCCGCCCGCGGCCCAGACACGTACATGGAGGAGCTGTCTCCGCAGTTGCCCTGGCAGTAGGCCAGGCGCACGGGCCCCTCGGATCTGCAGCCCTGCTGCCGGATGGTCTGGCTCCGATAATGCACAGCACAGGTCGACTCTGAAGAAACACCGGGTTTAGGACCAGCCCAGCCACTCCCGGACCTCCCAGGGTGGAGTCCACCCCACCCAGCGGGCTCAGCACTTACGGTTCTGGGGCAGGGGCGGCGGGCAGAAGAGGCAGCAGGCGTCCTCGCTCATGCGGGCCTGGTCCTGTGCCAACAGAGGGGCAGCCTCAGTGCCGAGGCACTTGGCGGCCCCCACCCCGCAGAAGTGGGGGACGGGCACATGGGGTCAGGCTCAGGAGTGGACAGCCCCGTGCAGGAGGGGCGTCTCTGCTAGCTCTGCAGGAACCACTCCAGTCCCCCAACCCCACCTGGGGGTGAAGCCACCTTGGCTGGGCGGGGGCCCTGGGCCTCACCAGAGAACAGCTGAGTGGGGGGCACGCCTTCTTCGTGGTGACCACCACAAGCCCATCCCGGTGCTTCTCACACTCGTGGGTCACACAGTGGTTCCCAGGGTCTGACCAGGTCTCGCCGGGCTGGAGGGAGGCCAGGCCCCGGGTGAGTGACTCTCCCTCCACCCGTCCCTCTGTCTGCACTCCAGCCTCTGCCAGGTGCATGCCAGCAAGGACAGGTCCCCAAATACCCTCATGCTCTCAGACCCTGCCCTTCCTCCTGGTGGCAGCTGATACTCACATAGAAGAGGTGGGCGGGGCTGTCGCTGGTGTTGGTGACACAGGCGACCTGAACGCAGGTGCCACAGCACTGCCCACGCTGCTCCCGGTACTCGAAGCCCTTCGGGAGGGATGGACATGTGGGCGGAGTCCAGGGGACAGCCACCCCCAGGTGGCTAGGGCAGGGTGGGAGCAGGGCAGGGCAGGGCGGGGCCAGGGCAGGTGGGGGTAGGATGGGGGCAGGGCAGGGGCCAGGGTGGGTGGGGTAGGGTGGGGGCAGGGCAGGGGCCAGGGTGGGTGGGGTAGGGTGGGGGCAGGGCAGGGGCCAGGGTGGGTGGGATAGAGTGGGCATCGCTCACCACGGGGCAGTGTGAGTTGCAGATCTGGGTCTCACAGCTGACTACAAATGAGTCCGACAGGGGGCCGCCGGGCAGCTCACACCTGCAGGTTTCGCACAGGCTCGAGGAGACCACAGCGCCAGGCTGGGGAGAGCCAGGGCAGGAGACGTCAATGAGGGTGGGCCCTGGGGCAGATCGGCTCCTGCCTCCCCACTGGCCTGCTGCCCCCACCTTCCCAGACGTCCCCCTCCAGGCCACTTCCTGCCAGGCCAACCTGCCCCCAGGGGTGACGCCTGATGGCAGGTCCTGGTGCAGAGGTCACTGCCCAGGGTCCCCATCCCCAGGGCAGAGTCCCATGCTGCACCCCCATGGGTAGGCTGGCTAGCAAGGCCACATGCTCTGCAGGGCCATGGGACACAGAGCCACGGGACATAGAGCCACGTGACACAGAGCCACGGGACATAGAGCCACGGGATCCAGGCCTGGCTGCACTGAGGTGCCAGGAGAGTCAAGCCCCTCAGAGCCAGGTGGGCCAGGGTTAGACGTCCACACTTCCCGGCACTGGGGTTGCCTTCAGCCTCAGCCACACTTGATTGTGGGCTGTGTCCTGAGAGACTCCGGTCCCCGGCCCCCACTGGGTCAGCAGGCGCTCAGTGCACTCCCGCTGCTCCCAAGTCTACCTGGGCCCAGGATTGACAGGAAGCTCCGTCCCTGCGGGGGTCTGTGGGGATCTGAGCTCCGTGGCTCTTACCTGGTACAGGGTCCCATTGATGCTGCACACTGTCCAGCCTGCCCAGGAGAAGACAAGCAGCTGCAGCCTTGGCCAGAAGCCCAGCCGGCCCTCCCTCGCCCTCAGCATCCCTGTCCCTCAGCCTCCTGGGCTCACCACTGCGGTTTCTCAAGGCTCATCCCTGCGGAAGTCTCAGCCCAGAGCCACAGACTGGCCGTGGACAAGCCGCAGTGGCATCTGGCTATGCCCCCAAAATCCCGGGTGGAGTCCCCAGCCCACGGCCCCCAGACCAGTCCCGGTCCTGGCCACTCACTGCAGTTTTGGACTGGGCAGCAGGCTCCCTCCTCGTGGGTCAGGATCTCACGGGCACCCTCGGGACAGCCCACGGGTGCGGGGCAGTGGCTGGAGTTGCAGGCTGTGGGGTGGGAGGGAGGCAGTTGGGAGTCCGTCCCCACCCCCACCCAAGGGCCACCCCAGGTGTCTCCAGGATTTCGGACTGCCCAGACGGCCTGCCAGGGGGTCTCCAGGTGAGGCTGCGGCAGGAGGGGAGGAGGGAGGCCCTCTAGGGCACTGCCCCCAAGTGCACGGCCCAGGGCAGCAGCAAAGGGCGGGTTGGGTATGCTCTGTTCACCCTCCGAGCCAGGGAAGGACTTACCGCAGCTGTACTGGGGACAGCACTGGCCGGTCTGCGGGGCTGCAGGCACAGGCACAAAGCCGGGCAGGGGGCAGGCAGGGGGCAGCGGGCAGGGCTTGGGCCGGCAGGTCAGTGTCCAGGTGGCTGCCTCGCACATGCACTCCCGGCAGTCCACGCTGACGTTGTGGCCCCCCTGCAAGGGAGAGGCTGGAGGTCCAGCTCCCGCAGCGGCCCCACCTCGGGGTGCAGCAGCCAGGCGGGCTTATGCAGGGCGGGGATGGCCCGGTGCAGAGGCCGTGCAGCCTGCGGCTGAGGACCCCACAGGAGTGGGGCTTCAAAAGTGCAGAGGGCAGCCCAAGGGCAGGCACGAAGCTCCAAAAGGCAGGCCAGCTGCGGGGTGACCGGCCCGCATCCCCAATCTCACGCCTCCAAAGCCTCAGCTGAGCAGAAGGGAAGCAAGGGAAGGGCACTGCCAGCCTCAGGACCAGCGCCCACACAGCAGCACCAGGGCAGAGGCCCTGCATGGTCCGTGGACAGGGCAGGCGCCTGGGAAAGGAGCTCTTTCAGGGAGCCCAGCTCCTCCCACAGACCTTGCTCTGGGCCTGTCACAAGAGAGGACACCTGACCCCTGAGCCCCATCTGACTGTTTCTGGGACCAGTGTTTCAAAAGCCTCCCTCCTCAGGCTCTTGGACCCCAGGGCCCTCTCAGGTTGCGCCAGCCACTCACCTCCACTGGCTCTCCGTGGGGCCCCAGACACCCTGGCGGGAGAGAGACCTGAGGTCACTGGGGGGCAGCCGCCCAACCGGGGTGAGGGGCAGGGTCCCGTGTCTGGCTGGGGCAGACGCCAGGGCCTGGCCAACAGTCACAGGCCCCATCCTGCCACACCACCCAGCCCAGGCAGGGGGTACGTACGGGGGCAGCCTGTGGGCACGCAGACTTGGGCACTGGTGCTGAAGAGGACCATGCCCTCTGGGCAGAAGCAGCCTTCAGTGATGGGGCCGGCCTTCTGCAGAGCCCTGTGGAGAGTGAGCTGGGGGTTGGTGGGCTGGCCTCCTCTTTCCCTCCAGGTGGGAAGGGCCCCAGCCTGGGAGTGGGAGAGGTGGGGGGATGGGCAGTTCTGTGGCAGGGCCAGGAGGGAGGGCACCTACCCGAGGCCAGCGCTGTCATTCCCATAGCAGTAGGAGGGGCTGGTTGGGCCGCAGGGCAGGTACACAGTGTCGGCCGGGCAGGTGAACGCTGCAGGGAGGGGAAGCCATGCCTGAGAGGGCAGGAGGGCATCCACCCAGAGCAACACAGGCCTCTGGGCACTGGCACCTGCTCTGGAGCTGCCCGCAGCCACCTGTGAGCCCGGGCCTGGCCACAGCCACCCACACCCGCTGCACCACCACGGCTCCCGGATGTGGACACCCTCCTTTCTCTCCGGGGAACAGGGTGCACTCTACCCTCGGGCCGCCCCTCCTCCTCCAGGTCCCACCCTGTTGGCCTGAGCCCACCCCAAAGGTGTGCCTGGCATGTAGGTGCCGCTCACAAGCGACAGGCCCTGAGGCGGCGGCCTCACTCACGGCACGTGTGGTTGGTGTGGCCTCTCCAGTCGACGCAGATGCCCTGGGACGTGCAGAGCGCTGCGTACAGCTCCAGGCTGGAGCACACCACGCCCGGGTCGGTCATGTGGCAATGGTCGAAGGCACAGCCCTCGTAGAAGGGCAGCGGGGGGATCACAGTGTGGCACGGCTCGAAGACCCTGTGGGGGGATGGGCGGGGTGCTGGATGTGGCCTCTCTGGCCAGCCACCTGCTCCACGTCAGGCTCCCAGGCTTCAGGACAGACCCCAGGCAAGGCGATTCCCCGGGCAGCAGCTGCGGTGCAGCCCCCTCAACTGCCCTCTCCCTGACAGGTTGTGTTTGGGGACTGGGGTCGGGGTCCAGATGGTATCATCCATTTCTTTCTGCAAGTTCTTCTCCTTGGGGCTCCCCCCACCCCAAAAACCTGGGAGCTGCCTGGGGGGCAGTGACCGATGGCCCCGTCCATGCACCTGGCCAGCCCTGGCCACCCCTTGGCAGCATTCTAGCCACGACCACCTCTGCCCGGTACCCTTCCCTCCCTGGCACCTCCTCAGCATCCACCCCCGGCCCCTCCCCAGCACCTGCCCCTCCTCTGCCTGCCGCACCAGCAGCTCTGAAGCCCCCGGAAAACCCGCAGCTCTTGGAAGGGTTGGACCGGGGGTTGTCACGCTGACCCTCCCTCCCTTGCACCCGAGTCTCACTTGCTCAGAATCAGCTGGCAGATGGGTGCCGGAGGGCACGGAGCAGGGGTGGTGAAGGGCCTGGCGGTGGTGGGCCCAGCAGGGGTGGGCACTGGGCGGGGACCGTGGCAGGCCGGCTGGCCGGGTTCGCTCACATTCCAGAGGCCGGACATCTCCGAGCAGGAAGCGGCCACCCTTCCACCTGGCATGCGGCACTCGTCCTTACGGTCGTTGGTACACGTACCTGGGCAGGTGCGGTGGGGATCAGGCCACTGGACAGTGGAGTTGGCAGACCCAGCCCCGTGGGGCTCAGCACCCGCAGCTGGGGGACCCGACCCTGGCGTCTCGGGGTCACCCTTAGGTGGACTGTATTGGGGCCTGCCTGTGCCTTGATGACCCCCGAGGATGACCCTGGGGCAGTCTCCATGGTACCAGCGAGCAGTGGGCACCGGCAGGTGTGAGCCTCAGGCGTGAGGCCCACACCAGACAAAGCAGCCAGAAAGCAGGGATGCCAGCACGCAGCAGCCTCGCCCCGCCCGCCCTCCCCCGACAAACGCCAGACACTGCCCCGGAGCCCCGCGGCCTCACCACATTGGCCCTCGGTGTTGTTGGCAAATGTGCTGAAGGGCACCTCCACAGAGAAGATGAGGCCAGAGAACATGACCTGCACGCCCAGCTGCGGGATGGTCGCGTACATCTTGATGCCCACGCGGGACACTGTGATGCCGTCTTTCTGGAACCCGGGGCTGACCACCTTGTTGTTGAAGATGATCTGGACGCAGGGCGCCATCAACAGGAAGACAGAAGGCAGGTGGGCGGGTGGTCAGCTGCTGCTCAGGCTCGTGCCAGAAAAGTTGTGCCCCCAATCACTCCCCGCACACCAGGCGCCCCCACCTGCTCCCTGCACGCCAGGCCCCCCACCTGCTCCCTGCACACCAGGCCCCCGACCTGCTCCCTGCACACCAGGCCCCCCACCTGCTCCCTGCACACCAGGCCCCCTACCTGCTCCTGGCACACCAGGCGCACCCACGGCACACCAGGCGCACCCACCCACTCCTGGCACACCAGGCGCACCCACCCGCTCCCGGCACACCAGGCCCCCCACCTGCTCCCCGCACACCAGGCCCCCCACCTGCTCCCCGCACACCAGGCGCCCCCACCCGTTCCTGGCACACCAGGCGCCCCCACCCGTTCCCGGCACACCAGGCCCCCCACCCGCTCCCGGCACACCAGGCCCCCCACCTGCTCCCCGCACACCAGGCCCCCCGCCTGCTCCCCGCACATCAGGCGCCCCCACCTGCTCCCGGCACACCAGGCCCCCCATCCGCTCCCGGCACACCAGGCCCCCCACCCGCTCCCGGCACACCAGGCCCCCCACCCGCTCCCGGCACACCAGGCCCCCCACCTCGTTGGTCATCACACCGCGGACTGGCCTGCGGGTCAGCACCACGCGGTCCTGCCGGTACTCAAGGATGATGGACCTCGGGCAGGAGAGCCCATCCTCCGCGTCGCAGAAATAGTTGTCGATGAGGACGCGGAAGTGGCCGAACACGGGCACGATCTGCTGCACCAGCACGTAGGTGCAGTTGTCCAGGAAGGTGTAGTAGGTGCCATCGAAGGTGATGTAGTGTGGGTCGCCCCAGCCGCTGCACACACCTGCCATGGCCAGGGCAGCGTGAGAGGCGGTTCGGGCGGCTGCACCACAGCCCCGGGGCTCTCTCTCTCCCAACAGGCCACGTCCGTCCCTGCCCCCCCACCGGCTCGCCTCACAGGGAGCACGAGACCCTCCGCGTCATCGGAACGCGGCACCTGCACGGAGCTCCATCTGGAGGGCGCTTGACAGGGCCCGAGCAAGGCAGAGACAGACCCTCCACCTTCCCCAGCCCGGCTGCTCAGGGCTCACCGGGCTCCACTTGGCACCCCTAAGCAGGAGGCACGGCCCCACAGAGCCCGGCCTGGATGCTGGGAAGTCCTTCCTGCTGTCCAACCCAGATCCTTTCTGCTTCAGCCCAGCCCCCTCCTCTGCCCCACCCATTTCCGCCTTGGGGGAGAGGCCTGCCCGCTCCCGCCTGCCCTCCACTCACACTGGCACTGGTAATGCTGGCAGCAGCCGTCCTGATCAGCCACCTTCACGGCCGGGTAGCCATTGGCACAGGTGGGCTTCTCCACCCTCGGGCACTTGCGCGGGTGCAGAGAGATGACGTTGTGGCCCTCGCAGGTGGCCTCGGAGCAGTTGGGCATGGGCCAGGTCTCCCCTTTCTACAGAAGAACAGAGCTGCAGGCTCCAGCCTCTCCCAGTCTCTAGGGCAGCCCTTGGCTCTCAGGGTCACAGTCCTGAGAGTCCAGGGTGGGGACAGGGGAGGGTAGTTGCTCCCCAGTCTCCTTCCTGCTCCATCCTCACCACCCACCCCAGACACCGAGCTGGCCGGGGGCAGCGGCCTCCGGTGTGGGAGTTGCCCCCACCCCCACCGGCTCTGCCACACCCCCTGGCTGTGCAGCTGGGGCCTCAGCCTCCTCCAGCTGCTCTGGCCCTGGCCGTCCTCAGCACAGCCTCAGCCTCAAGCCCTACAAGCCCAGCGTCTGGAAGACACGCGCCTGGGAAGTCCGGCGGGGCTCAGAAACCCTGGGCTACAGCAGGGCCCTATCCCAATGGTCAGGCAGCTTCACTGGGGCCAGCGACCTCAAGAACCTGCAGCTGAAGTCTAATTGCAAAGACACTCAGGGTCCCTGCAGTGGCCCCGAGCCTTCAGAAGGGTGGGAAGTAGGGAATTACCTTTCTGGGGGGCACCGCATTTGGGCATCCCAGCTCGGGCTCAGAGGTGGCTGTGGAAGGGGACGTGGCCAGGGCAGGAGGCGGCGTGGTAGACGGGCAGTCACTGTCGACCCCTCTGACCACTTGGCAGTCCGGGCTGCAGAGGGCATAGTAGCAGTGGCCAGCGAGGTCTCTGTGGCGGTATATGGTGGACCCTGCAGGAGGGCACATGGTGGGCTTCAGTGGAGCCCTGCTCAGAGAAGGCCAAAGTCCCTCAGTGAGCTGGAGGGGCTCTTTCTACCCACTGGGTAATGGGAAAAATCTTCAGAGAATGCGAGCAGCCACTCTGCCACAATTGGCTTGTGCCACAAAGGGCAGACTCCTCCCATCTCCATCACAGCCTGGCGTTCCCGCGTGAAACACTGACCAGGGTGGGCTGACAAACAATTACACCAGAAACACGAACCCGCAGGGTACAGCCGGTCAGCCACGTTGCAGAAGCAGGTTGGGGTGGTGTAAGCCACAGAGCTCGGTGCCACAGAGGTAGATGCCACGGATGTGAATGCCACAGAGGTGGACGGCACGAAGGTAGACGGTGAAGGATATGTGGTTTTGGTAGAAGTCCCATAGGGAGAAATGGAGGTCACGGGGCAGCCTTTGGGGGTCTCGCAGCAGAGCACACGCACCTCGTAGTTGAGGCACATCTTGAAGGGCCCCTGCTGGTCCTGGTTCCGGCACAGCAGGCCCTCCTCGCGGCTGCACTGCACCACCTGGCCCAGGTGTTCGATGCTCACCTCCGGGTGGCTCTCGGCTCGGCACTGGAGCCTGGTGATGTCCTCAGGTCGGCGGCAGATTCTCTCCCCGCTCCGGATGATGTTGCTGTAGGTTTCCTCGTCTCCCCCGTGGGGCCCGGGGGACGGAAAGTCCACGTCGAACCACTTGGTCCAGCTGCACCGGGGCTGACAGTCTCGAGACTGACTTGTCGTGGATACGGAAACATGGCTTGTGCTGGTCTTTGAAACAGAGGTTGTGCTGGTGCTGGGAGCCGAGGTTGTGCTGGTGGTGGGAACAGGGCTGGGAGTGGTTCCAGGACCAGAGGTCGTGCTGGTCTGTGGAGCAGAGGTCGTGCTGATTGTAGGAGCAGAGGTTGTGCTGGTGCTGGGAGCCAAGGTCGTGCTGGTTACAGGAGCTGAGCTTGTGCTGGTTGTAGGGGCAGAGGTTGTGCTGGTTGTAGGAGTAGAGGTTGTGCTGGTGGTGGGAACAGGGCTGGGAGTGGTTCCAGGACCAGAGGTTGTGCTGGTCTGTGGTGCAGAGGTTGTGCTGATTGTAGGAGCAGAGGTTGTGCTGGTTATAGGAGTAGAGGTTGTGCTGGTGGTGGGAACAGGGCTGGGAGTGGTTCCAGGACCAGAGGTTGTGCTGGTCTGTGGAGCAGAGGTCGTGCTGGTTGTAGAAGCAGAGGTCGTGCTGGTTGTAGGGGCAGAGGTTGTGCTGGTGCTGGAAGCCGAGGTTGTGCTGGTTACAGGAGCTGAGCTTGTGCTGGTTGTAGGGGCAGAGGTCTTGCTGGTTATAGGAGTAGAGGTTGTGCTGGTGCTGGGAGCCGAGGTTGTGCTGGTTGTAGGGGCAGAGGTTGTGCTGGTTATAGGGGCAGAGGTTGTGCTGGTTATAGGGGCAGAGGTTGTGCTGGTTATAGGAGTAGAGGTTGTGCTGGTGGTGGGAACAGGGCTTGGAGTGGTTCCAGGACCAGAGGTCGTGCTGGTCTGTGGAGCAGAGGTCGTACTGCTTGTAGGAGCAAAGGTTGTGCTGGTGCTGGGAGCCGAGGTTGTGCTCGTTACAGGAGCTGAGCTTGTGCTGGTTGTAGGGGCAGAGGTTGTGCTGGTTGTTGGAGCAGAGGTTGTGCTGGTCTGTGGAGCAGAGGTTGTGCTGGTGGTGGGAACAGGGCTGGGAGTCGTTCCAGGACTAGAGGTCGTGCTGGTCTGTGGAGCAGAGGTTGTGCTGGTGCTGGAAGCCGAGGTCGTGCTGGTTATAGGAGCTGAGCGTGTGCTGGTCTGTGGAGCAGAGGTTGTGCTGCTTGTAGGGGCAGAGGTCGTGCTGGTCTGTGGAACAGAGGTTGTGCTGCTCTGTGCAGTGGAGGTTGTGCTGGTTGTCACCAAATTGGTTGTCCTGGATTTTTTCCATGAGGAGGTGCTGTGTGTTGGGCTGGTGGCTCTCTCACTTGGAGGGCCAGGAGCTGTGACTGGTGTGGTCACGGGGCAGCCTTTGGGGATCTCGCAGCAGAGCACGCGCACCTCGTAGTTGAGGCACATCTTGAAGGGCCCCTGCTGGTCCTGGTTCCGGCACACCAGGCCCTCCTCGCGGCTGCACTGCACCACCTGGCCCAGGTGTTCGATGCTCACCTCCGGGTGGCTCTCGGCTCGGCACTGGAGCCTGGTGATGTCCTCAGGTCGGCGGCAGATTCTCTCCCCGCTCCGGATGATGTTGCTGTAGGTTTCCTCGTCTCCCCCGTGGGGCCCGGGGGACGGAAAGTCCACGTCAAACCACTTGGTCCAGCTGCACCGGGGCTGACAGTCTCGAGACTGACTTGTCGTGGATACGGAAACATGGCTTGTGCTGGTCTTTGAAACAGAGGTTGTGCTGGTGCTGGGAGCCGAGGTTGTGCTGGTGGTGGGAACAGGGCTGGGAGTGGTTCCAGGACCAGAGGTCGTGCTGGTCTGTGGAGCAGAGGTCGTGCTGGTTGTAGGAGCAGAGGTTGTGCTGGTGCTGGTAGCCGAGGTTCTGCTGGTTACAGGAGCTGAGCTTGTGCTGGTTGTAGGGGCAGAGGTCTTGCTGGTTATAGGAGTAGAGGTTGTGCTGGTTGTAGGGGCAGAGGTTGTGCTGGTTGTAGGAGCAGAGGTTGTGCTGGTTGTAGAAGCAGAGGTTGTGCTGGTTATAGGAGTAGAGGTTGTGCTGGTGGTGGGAACAGGGCTGGGAGTCGTTCCAGGACCAGAGGTTGTGCTGGTCTGTGGAGCAGAGGTTGTGCTGCTTGTAGGGGCAGAGGTCGTGCTGGTCTGTGGAGCAGAGGTTGTGCTGGTTGTAGGAGCAGAGGTTGTGCTGGTGCTGGAAGCTGAGGTCGTGCTGGTTATAGGAGCTGAGCGTGTGCTGGTCTGTGGAGCAGAGGTTGTGCTGCTTGTAGGGGCAGAGGTCGTGCTGGTCTGTGGAGCAGAGGTTGTGCTGCTTGTAGGGGCAGAGGTCGTGCTGGTCTGTGGAGCAGAGGTTGTGCTGCTCTGTGCAGTGGAGGTTGTGCTGGTTGTCACCAAATTGGTTGTCCTGGATTTTTTCCAAGAGGTGCTGTGTGTTGGGCTGGTGGCTCTCTCACTTGGAGGGCCAGGAGCTGTGACTGGTGTGGTCACGGGGCAGCCTTTGGGGATCTCGCAGCAGAGCACGCGCACCTCGTAGTTGAGGCACATCTTGAAGGGCCCCTGCTGGTCCTGGTTCCGGCACACCAGGCCCTCCTCGCGGCTGCACTGCACCACCTGGCCCAGGTGTTCGATGCTCACCTCCGGGTGGCTCTCGGCTCGGCACTGGAGCCTGGTGATGTCCTCAGGTCGGCGGCAGATTCTCTCCCCGCTCCGGATGATGTTGCTGTAGGTTTCCTCGTCTCCCCCGTGGGGCCCGGGGGACGGAAAGTCCACGTCGAACCACTTGGTCCAGCTGCACCGGGGCTGACAGTCTCGAGACTGACTTGTCGTGGATACGGAAACATGGCTTGTGCTGGTCTTTGAAACAGAGGTTGTGCTGGTGCTGGAAGCCGAGGTCGTGCTGGTTACAGGAGCTGAGCTTGTGCTGGTTGTAGGGGCAGAGGTTGTGCTGGTTGTAGGAGTAGAGGTTGTGCTGGTGGTGGGAACAGGGCTGGGAGTCGTTCCAGGACCAGAGGTCGTGCTGGTCTGTGGAGCAGAGGTTGTGCTGGTTGTAGGGGCAGAGGTTGTGCTGGTTGTAGGAGTAGAGGTTGTGCTGGTGGTGGGAACAGGGCTGGGAGTGGTTCCAGGACCAGAGGTCATGCTGGTCTGTGGAGCAGAGGTCGTGCTGATTGTAGGAGCAGAGGTTGTGCTGGTGCTGGGAGCCGAGGTTGTGCTGGTTGTAGGGGCAGAGGTTGTGCTGGTTGTAGGGGCAGAGGTCTTGCTGGTTATAGGAGTAGAGGTTGTGCTGGTGGTGGGAACAGGGCTGGGAGTGGTTCCAGGACCAGAGGTTGTGCTGGTCTGTGGAGCAGAGGTTGTGCTGCTTGTAGGGGCAGAGGTCGTGCTGGTCTGTGGAGCAGAGGTTGTGCTGCTTGTAGGGGCAGAGGTCGTGCTGGTCTGTGGAGCAGAGGTTGTGCTGCTCTGTGCAGTGGAGGTTGTGCTGGTTGTCACCAAATTGGTTGTCCTGGATTTTTTCCATGAGGAGGTGCTGTGTGTTGGGCTGGTGGCTCTCTCACTTGGAGTGCCAGGAGCTGTGACTGGTGTGGTCACGGGGCAGCCTTTGGGGATCTCGCAGCAGAGCACACGCACCTCGTAGTTGAGGCACATCTTGAAGGGCCCCTGCTGGTCCTGGTTCCGGCACACCAGGCCCTCCTCGCGGCTGCACTGCACCACCTGGCCCAGGTGTTCGATGCTCACCTCCGGGTGGCTCTCGGCTCGGCACTGGAGCCTGGTGATGTCCTCAGGTCGGCGGCAGATTCTCTCCCCGCTCCGGATGATGTTGCTGTAGGTTTCCTCGTCTCCCCCGTGGGGCCCGGGGGACGGAAAGTCCACGTCGAACCACTTGGTCCAGCTGCACCGGGGCTGACAGTCTCGGGACTGACTTGTCGTGGATACGGAAACGTGGCTTGTGCTGGTCTTTGAAACAGAGGTTGTGCTGGTGCTGGGAGCCGAGGTTGTGCTGGTTGTAGGGGCAGAGGTTGTGCTGGTGCTGGAAGCCGAGGTTGTGCTGGTTACAGGAGCTGAGCTTGTGCTGGTTGTAGGGGCAGAGGTCTTGCTGGTTATAGGAGTAGAGGTTGTGCTGGTTACAGGAGCCGAGGTCGTGCTGGTTGTAGGGGCAGAGGTTGTGCTGGTTATAGGAGCCGAGGTTGTGCTGGTGGTGGGAACAGGGCTGGGAGTGGTTCCAGGACCAGAGGTCGTGCTGGTCTGTGGAGCAGAGGTCGTACTGCTTGTAGGAGCAAAGGTTGTGCTGGTGCTGGGAGCCGAGGTCGTGCTCGTTACAGGAGCTGAGCTTGTGCTGGTTGTAGGGGCAGAGGTTGTGCTGGTTGTAGGGGCAGAGGTTGTGCTGGTTGTAGGGGCAGAGGTTGTGCTGGTTGTAGGGGCAGAGGTTGTGCTGGTTGCAGGAGCAGAGGTTGTGCTGGTGGTGGGAACAGGGCTGGGAGTCGTTCCAGGACCAGTGGTTGTGCTGGTCTGTGGAGCAGAGGTTGTGCTGGTCTGTGGAGCAGAGGTTGTGCTGGTTGTAGGGGCAGAGGTTGTGCTGGTTGTAGGGGCAGAGGTTGTGCTGGTTGCAGGAGCAGAGGTTGTGCTGGTGGTGGGAACAGGGCTGGGAGTCGTTCCAGGACCAGTGGTTGTGCTGGTCTGTGGAGCAGAGGTTGTGCTGGTTGTAGGAGCAGAGGTTGTGCTGGTTACAGGAGCTGAGCTTGTGCTGGTGGTGGGAACAGGGCTGGGAGTGGTTCCAGGACTAGAGGTCGTGCTGGTCTGTGGAGCAGAGGTTGTGCTGGTGGTGGGAACAGGGCTGGGAGTCGTTCCAGGACCAGAGGTCGTGCTGGTCTGTGGAGCAGAGGTTGTGCTGCTTGTAGGGGCAGAGGTTGTGCTGGTCTGTGGAGCAGAGGTTGTGCTGCTTGTAGGGGCAGAGGTCGTGCTGGTTGTAGGGGCAGAGGTTGTGCTGGTTATAGGAGCAGAGGTTGTGCTGGTGGTGGGAACAGGGCTGGGAGTGGTTCCAGGACCAGAGGTTGTGCTGGTCTGTGGAGCAGAGGTTGTGCTGCTTGTAGGGGCAGAGGTCGTGCTGGTCTGTGGAGCAGAGGTTGTGCTGCTTGTAGGGGCAGAGGTCGTGCTGGTCTGTGGAGCAGAGGTTGTGCTGCTTGTAGGGGCAGAGGTCGTGCTGGTCTGTGGAGCAGAGGTTGTGCTGGTTGTAGGAGCTGAGCGTGTGCTGGTCTGTGGAGCAGAGGTTGTGCTGCTTGTAGGAGCAGAGGTTGTGCTGGTCTGTGGAGCAGAGGTTGTGCTGCTTGTAGGGGCAGAGGTCGTGCTGGTCTGTGGAACAGAGGTTGTGCTGTTCTGTGCAGTGGAGGTTGTGCTGGTTGTCACCAAATTGGTTGTCCTGGATTTTTTCCAAGAGGTGCTGTGTGTTGGGCTGGTGGCTCTCTCACTTGGAGTGCCAGGAGCTGTGACTGGTGTGGTCACGGGGCAGCCTTTGGGGATCTCGCAGCAGAGCACGCGCACCTCGTAGTTGAGGCACATCTTGAAGGGCCCCTGCTGGTCCTGGTTCCGGCACACCAGGCCCTCCTCGCGGCTGCACTGCACCACCTGGCCCAGGTGTTCGATGCTCACCTCCGGGTGGCTCTCGGCTCGGCACTGGAGCCTGGTGATGTCCTCAGGTCGGCGGCAGATTCTCTCCCCGCTCCGGATGATGTTGCTGTAGGTTTCCTCGTCTCCCCCGTGGGGCCCGGGGGACGGAAAGTCCACATCGAACCACTTGGTCCAGCTGCACCGGGGCTGACAGTCTCTGGTGGGTGGTTGGGTGTGGGTGCCGCGCGTGACACTGGTTGCTGTGGACCCGGCTCTAGAGGTGGCTGTGGGGTGCGATGTGGAAGCTGAGGGCTTGTGTGTGGTGGAAGTGGCCTGGGCCTTGGCGCTGGTTCGGTGTGGGGTCGTCCGTGTGGTTGTGCCTGTCCTGGGCGGTCTGGTGCCCTCTCTGCACACATCCACCCTCTCACAGCACTGGATGCGGATCTCGTAGTTGTAGCAGATGGGTGGGAGCTGGTTCTTGTTGAGGCAAATGAGACCCTCCGTGCGGCTGCAGGTGACGTCCTGCTCCAGGTCTGCCAGCGGCGTGTTGGGGAAGCTCTCCGCCCGGCACTCCACTGCTCGAGGATGTTCACAGAACTTATATCCTTTGGCTCTCAAATTTTGAAATGTGTCAAAATCTCCGCTACTTATTTCGGGACCCGGGTAGCTGCCATCAATCCACTCGGTCCAGGTGCAGAACTCCTGTAGGCAGGAGACCGTGCTGGGCTCAGGAGGGCTGGTCTTGCTGGAGACTGCGGCCGTCCCCGGGGCTGTGGTCAGCATGGACGATGTGGCCGGCTCTGACGAAGGGCTGTGAGTTGAGACAGGTGTTTTGACAGATGTTGCGGGGCCTGGGGCAGGTGTTTTCCTTGTAGTGCGGGTTGTCTGAGTAGAGGCTGTGCTGGGGCCTGGGGCAGGTGTTTTCCTGGCTGTAGAAAGATGCCCAGGGCCCGGTGTGCTGCCGGGGGCAGAGGAGGCTGAGGCCCGGGTCTCAGTGGTCTTGGAGGTTGTTGGAGGGGTGCTGGGGGCTGTGCTGGCGGTGGAGCAGGGGAGGGGCGTGCAGCACAGCACACGGACCTGGTAGTTGTGGCAGATCCCGGACGGCTGCTCCCTGTTACGGCAGGTCAGCCCCACGTCGGGGCTGCACAGCACATGCTGACCCAGGGCCTGGAGCGGCACCCCAGGGGCGTCCTCCGCGCGGCACTCCACCGACCTGGGCGCTGTGCACACCGGGTACCCGTGAGCACGGAGGTTCTCCAGCGTGTCAAAGTCACCGCTGTCCACGCCCCGTCCAGGACGGCTGATGTCCAGCCACGGCGACCACAGGCACTCTTCCCCACAGGCCGGCTGCGGCGAGGCGGAGGCTGTGGACGGCCTCGTCCTGGGAGAAGTGCCCGCTGTGATGGACCAGGCGCTGCTGGGGGGGCCCGTGTGCGCCTCGCTTGGGCTGGTGCTGGGAACAGGCGTGGAGCTTAGGACTACGGGCAGAAAAGAAGGCAGTTGAGCACGAGAGGCCGGCACTCGGAGGCCACCCCACCCTCCCTGTGGCCCAGACACCAGTGGGCCTGTCTGCCTGTCCCCACCCACGACCCCTGCCCAGAACCTGTGTGGGTGGCACAGGTGCTGAAGAGCCAGGCGAACTGACTCTGTTTAAAGAAAGCAGCTGCCAGGCCATGCCCTGAGCAGGGTCCACTCATCTGCACCCCAGAAAGCCACCATTCTGGAGCTTTCTCCTGTCGGAGAACTCAGATGATGCCCCAGGGCCATGAGACATCCCCAGGAGAGGGTGAGGACACAGGGGTACCTGCGCTCCAAGCAGTGTGAGGGAAGCCACGGCCGTGCATCCCTGGGGCCAGCCTGGGCTGCCAGACCCCCTATGCCCCCATGAGGCGAGGCCCAGGAGCTGCTGAAAGCAGGAGTGTGGGTGCTGGGCCTGCCTGGGTGACTCGGAGACTGGGCCCTCCCCACTGCTGGTGGCCAGTGGGGAAATGCCAGGTCCTCCCTGGGCAAACACCTGCTCCTGGCCCCTTCCCAATCCCCAGGGGCTGCCACCCATGCCCAGTGCTGGAGAGGGCAGCTGTGCCAGGCATTGGGAGGGCTCCCCCGGGTGCCCGGGGCCCTTTGTCCACATTTGCCTTACCGAGAGGAGGTGTGGAGAAGGAGAAGGTGGTTGTGGGGGCAGGGGTGGAGGGGCTGCAGGGGTAGACCCTCCTCTCGATGGTGCCGTTGTCCCCACAGCGGGCAGAGATGCAGCCGCCCATGCCATCCGTAGTGTGGTAGATGACATCCCCAGGCCGGAAGCGCTGCCCGTCGTAGCTGCAGACACAGGCTGTGGGGACAGATGGGCCAGGCCCATCAGAGGCTGGGCGCGGGCAAAGACCCTGAACCCCAGACCCCAGTCCCCCCAGCCTGCCAGCCACAGAGACCCCCAAACCCCAGACCCCCAGCCTGCCGGCCACAGAGACCCCCAGACCCCAGCCCCGCCAGCCCCAGGGGCTGCTGGCTGCTCACCTTTGGCATCGTAGGTGCACTGTACGCCACGCTCAGTGCAGAGGCTAGAGACAAGGAAGAAGGAGAGGCTGGTGGGCGGGGAGGCTGGTGCGCAGGGAGGCTGGTGTGCGGGGAGGCTGGTGAGTGGGGAGACTGGTGCTCAGAAAGGCTGGTGCGTGGGGAGGCTGGTGAATGGGAAGGCTGGTGCGTGGGGAGGCTGGTGAGTTGGGAGGCTGGTGTGCGGGGAGGCTGGTGCGTGGGGCAGCCACATGCCCTCCACAGGGCGTCCCACGATACCAAAGGCAGGGGTAGCAGCTCCATCAGGGCTGCCCTGGGTGCTGCATTGTACCCCCGGACTGGGGACAGGGAGGCTGGCTCCACCTGGGTCCCAGCAGTTGTCCCTCAAGGGTCAGCCTGAGGTCCTGCCCTCATGGGGCCCCTCCAGTCCGGGTCCTGGGAGGTGGGCACCAGAGTGCAGCCATTGTCTCCCCGGGTGATTTTAACGGTGTCCCTCCCCTGGGGCCCTGGGGCTCCATCTCGGCCCAGCTCCCCTCCGTCACCCTCCCTGCACCCCTTGAGCCTGCATCCAGATGTCATGCTGGTTTCTGCCCAGAGGAGCCCGACACCTAGCCCTGCCTCTGGGCCTCAGGACATGCGGTGCTGGCCCCTGAGAAGCTTGTGTCATAAGCTCCTGGGCCAGGACGGAACCCATAGCTGCAACCAGCAAGAGGGAGGCCCCAGCCCTGCAGCTCCTGGCCGCACCCAAAGCCCAGGCCAGGGCCGAACCTCCCGCACGCTCCAGGCTCCTCATTCCTCTGGCCAAAGGACTCACCAGGAATGGCAGTTCTTGTCCGAGGGCACCACTGTGCCGGGCCGGTAGGACTTGCCGTGCACGTGGCAGGGTGGGGACGGAGGTGGGGACGGGCACCTGGCCACGCACTGCATCTGCTCCTCATCAAAGATGGGAGTCTCTGGCGGGCACTTGGGGTAGCAGCCTGCGAGCCAGAGAAGCCAGAGTCACACCAGACCGAGCATCAGCCGCCTCATCGAGGGCTCCACCCGGGCCCCAAGAAGCGGTCCTCTCCCACACCTCCCAAATGTGCAGAAGGCAGGGGCACAGAGCCTCCCTGAGGGGCCGGGAGAAGGCCACAGGCGGCGGAGCCCAGGGCAGCCCCTCCCGGGCAGCCCCAGCCGGCCCCAGCCCACCTTCCAGGCCCCAGACATTCCCAGGCCAGCCCCTCCCAGTGGGCCCCAGCCCACCTTTCAGGCCCCAGACATTCCCAGGCCAGCCCCTCCCAGCAGGTCCCAGCCCACCTTTCAGGCCCCAGACATTCCCAAGCCAGCCCCTCCCAGCAGGCCCCAGCCCACCTTCCAGGCCCCAGACATTCCCAGGCCAGCCCCTCCCAGTGGGCCCCAGCCCACCTTTCAGGCCCCAGACATTCCCAGGCCAGCCCCTCCCAGCGGGCCCCAGCCCACCTTCCAGGTCCCGGAGGTCCCCAGGCCAGCCCCTCCCAGCGGGCCCCAGCCCACCTTCCAGGCCCCAGACATGCCCACCTTTCAGGCCCCAGACATTCCCAGGCCAGCCCCTCCCAGCGGGCCCCAGCCCACCTTCCAGGTCCCGGAGGTCCCCAGGCCAGCCCCTCCCAGTGGGCCCCAGCCCACCTTTCAGGCCCCAGACATTCCCAGGCCAGCCCCTCCCAGCGGGCCCCAGCCCACCTTCCAGGTCCCGGAGGTCCCCAGGCCAGCCCCTCCCAGCGGGCCCCAGCCCACCTTCCAGGCCCCGGAGGTCCCCAGGCCAGCCCCTCCCAGCGGGCCCCAGCCCACCTTCCAGGCCCCGGAGGTCCTGCAGGCAGTCTCCACGGGGGTTCTGGCAGGTCCGCAGGCAGGGCGCCCCGCAGGGCTGGTAGTGCCACTCGCACTGGCCCTCGGGGTTGTAGTAGTCACAGAATAGAGCTGCAGGGAGGGAGAGAGGGCTCCGTGGGGCCCCAGGCGCTCGCTCAGGGAGGCCCTGCACCCGGGGCTGCTCTAAAGCCACTTCCCTCCCCTGGGCCTTCCTGCCATCGAAAGATGGGGACAGGGGAGGGTGGATGCCACAGAGGCGGCCAGCAGAGTGGGGGTCTCCAGCCAGAGCACCTCCAGTGTGCCTGCTCCTGGCAAGGCTCTGTGTGGCTAGAGCTGGGCAGCTCTGCTGGCCCCTGTGCCCGGAAGTTTCTGCCGCACTGGCCACCCCTCCACCGGCCATGCCCTCCTCTCTGGGCCGAGGTGTTCTTGTTTCCCTGGGAACCCTCCCACCCCCGTCAGCGGCGTGTGTGGCTGGGCTCTCCCTGCTGGCACTTCCTGTTCCACTCACGGCAGATGCTGGGGGTCCTCCAGGACACGCACAGCCCCACTTCGTGGCAGGCCTGGGCGTAGGCAGCCACGGCCGTGCAGAAGCACTCGCAGTCGCCCCCGGAGTCACAGGCGCACGCGTCGTTCACACAGGCCTCGTAGTACCTGTCTGGCTCCACCTGCGGGAGACGGGGCACAGGTTCCTGGGACGCCACCCTCCTGTGGGTTTTTGGGAACCGGACCCACACGGCACATCAACCGGGCCCGGTTCCAGTGGAGCTCAAGGAAAGCAAACGCCCACCTCTGGATGGCCAGTTGGGCCCGTCTGGATGTCTGCAGGGTCTGGGGCTTCCTCGGCAAACCCCGGGGAAACTACCACCCAGCGCCCTGAAACCGCAGCTGACACCGGCGCCTCTGGGGGAGTCCACCTGGCGCCGGCAGCCTGCACCCTTGGTTGACGGCTGTCCTCCAGCCCCAGCCCCAGCCCCAGCCCCAGCCCCTTCTGGGGCTTCCTTGGGTCACCACGACCCGTTGGGCCCGGAGAAAAGCCCCCCACCCCAGCCAGCATACGTGTGCGTGGCAGGCGGCGAAGGTGGGGCCGTGGAGGATGCTGCACTGCTTCTGGGCCCAGGACTTGCGGAAGGGGTTGGCCGTGCAGGGGTCCTTGGGCACCGTGGCGTCCGGACAGGACGGGGAGAGCTTCCAGCTGTTCCCGAACTCCAGCGCGTCCCCCACCACGGACCGGCTCCGCGTGGTGAAGTCGTTGTTGGCGTTTCCGTCGAAGTTCCCGCACAGGCCGCAGACCCTGCCCTGCAGAGGCGCCCATCGAGGTGGGGGTGACTACCGGCAAGCCCAGGAGGCCGGGGCCCCTCCTCCTTCCCGCCTCCAGCTACACCTGCAGAGCCCCCGGGCAGTGCCGCCGAGCACGGAGGGCCGGGGCCAGGCATGAGCCCCTCCTGGAGAAAAAGGAGCAGGCGTGGCCTCAAAGGAGTCCTGACTCCAAGCCTGTGTGTGGCGCCTCGCTGGGAAATAGGGCCTGGCAGATGGGGGGGTCATGAGTAAAGGCGACTGGCCCTGGATTCACTGGGTCCTGATCCCATGCCGGGTGTCCTTGTGAAGGAGGAAACTTAGACCCAGGCACAGGGAGGAGGCCGCGGGAAGACAGGCAGCCATCCGAGCTCGCGGCCACAGCCGAGGAGCAGATGCGAGGGGCCACATGGGAAGTGAAAGTTCCTTTTCAAAGCCTCCTTTCTTGTCATAAATGTGCTAATAACTTTGTGAAGCCCTATCCTGTGTAGCTGTCAGACACGCCGTGCTCACAGGCACGTAGTACACTCTGTCCCTGTACCTTCACCAGGTATCTGTGCTGGACATGCTCACAGGCGTGTCCCAGCTCTCCACTGCTTTCACCTGCTTAGAAGAGTTTTAAGTTGTTCGCCAGTCGGGCTTTAGTTTAGACTGTGAGGTCTGCTCCAGCCAACGGAGCTCAGACACAGCGGTAAGGATGACCCCAGATGTGTGAGGGATAAATCTGTCTGTTTTCCTTTGTTCTTTGTACTCTCGAGGCGCAATGGCCAGCGAGGGTCCCCTTCCTGCAGGCCAGGAAGTAAACGTTGCATTGCTGAACGAGCCTTTGTCTCAGTGGTGGGTTTTCTTCGAGGCACGGAGCGTCTATTCCCAACAGGCCAGAAGGAGCTCCCCAGAGTCCCCCAAAAGAACTCAGCCCTGCGGATGCCCTGCTGGACTCCAGTATCCAGGCTGTGAGCAAATCCACCAGGGTGGGCCTTTGCCCCAGCACCAGGACCCTGGCACCCAGGCAAGGAGCCCCCTGACCAGCTGCCCTTGCCAAGGCTCCATCCTCCCCTTCCCAACCCTTCCACCTCTGTGTTTCTGTCCGTGTCTCTCTGCCTCCCATCTCTGCCCACCTGTTCCATGCCCCCCTCCAAGACCCCAGGTTTCCAGCCAACTCTGGCCGGGGCAAGGGCCGTGGTCTTACCTTGAACTCGGGGCTGAGGCTGATGAAGATGCTGGTCTTCTTGTCCCACAGCAGCACCAGGCCGACGTCCGTGTCCACCACCAGGTAGATGCCCATCTGCCGGATGGCGTACGGCACCTCCTGCCCCTCGCCCGTCCCGATCACCTCCACCTTCCCGTGGCTCAGCTTCAGCTCGGAGCCCTGCATGGCAAGGGTCAGTCAGCGCCCCCAGTGAGAACCCCAGTCCACCTGGCCAGACGCTGCTGTGGGAGCCTCCCGCAGGGCGCCAACCACCCAGCCTCGCTCACCCCCAGGAAGATCTTGATGGCCTTGGAGCAGGTGGTCCCTGTGGTGCCACAGGGGACGTTCTCCGTGACGACACGGAAGGAGTCCTGGGCGCTGCTGTTCCCATCACAGTCATTCTGGGGAAGCAGAGCCCATCAGGGACCAGGCTGGCCCTGCTCTCCTTCCCACGAGGAGGCCAGGGTGGGGACAGCCTGTGTGCACCTGGGGCAGCTGCCCCGGAGAGGCAGTGAGCGGCCGTGAGCACCCCCAGGACGCCGGCTCACCTGCAGCAGCGTGTACTCGCAGTCTCCGTTGAAGCTGTAGCTCTGGCTGTCGAAGGTCAGGTAGTGGCCGTCCCCATACACAGCGCAGGTGGCCAGGCAGGGGTCATCCGTGCAGCGCCACATCCTGCTTTCACAGGTGCTGGGGGACAGCGGGGGATCAGGCCAGAGCACCCACAGGGGCCCTACCTAGCCAGGTGCAGCCTTCCTACCCCCAGGGGGACCTGGCACCACAGACACGCGCCCACTGGCTGGGGCTGCAAGGGGCGTCCCCCCACTGAGCCTGTGCCCTGTGTTTTCCTGGGACCACTGTGCTGGGGGCTCCCCTGTCTCTAAGGAGGGCCTCCGGCACCCGGGCCCAACACCCGCCTTGGGCCTCCCTGGCTGCGGTTGCCAGGGGCGACCGCCCTGAGCCTGTGCCCTGCATTTTCCCAGGACCACTGTGCCGGGGCTCGCCCATCTTTAAGGAGGCCCTCTGGTACCCAGGCCGGACACCCTCCATGGGCTTTGAGCCCCCTCATACCAGGTATTGCAGCCCACTCGGATGGTCTGGCCGGCCCGGTAGCTGGCCTCGTTGTGCACACAGGGGCAGTCTTCCGCAGCAATGCAGCCACCCTCGCCGTCCGCCACCAGCCCGTCGGGGCACACGCAGCCGGGCACGCACTGGGGGCTGTACTGCAGAGCCAGCAGATACTGCTGAGTGACGGGGTGGGGCACAGGGCCTCCCAGGTCCTCCCGGGGACAGCTCGACTGCACCATGGTGGAGGGGTCGCAGGACTAGGGAGCCTGAGGGGCATGTGGGCAGGGGTCCTCCGAGACGTGGGGCAGCCCGTGGCCTCCTGTGTTGGAGGCCTGCTGCCGCCCACCCCAGGGCAGGCACCCTTAGCAGGCGGTGGGGGCGATGGAGGGTCTGTCACTGGGGAGTCCCCAGGGGCTTACACAGGTCATGTCCAGGGTGTGGCAGCTCTTCTGACAGCCAGCCCCTGTGTCCCCGGGCGTGGCGTTGCGGCAGTCAAAGAATAGCATGGGCGCAGCACACACTGGGGATGGAGGGGCCGTCAGGGGCCCAGCCACATGTCAGGGAGGATGTGTCTGTGCCGTGCGTGTATGTGTGAGTGGGCGTGTGGGCGAGCATGTGTGCATGAGTGGGTGTGTGTGCATAAGTGGGTGTGAGTGTGTGCATGAGTGGATGCATGAGTGTGCATGAGTGGGTGTGTGAGCATGTGCATGAATGGGTGTGAGTGGGTGTGTCATGTGTGCATGAGGGTGTTAGTGGGAGTGCATGTGTGTGCATGTGCATAACTGGGTGTGTGAATGTGTGTACATTAGTGTGTATGCATGTGCGTGAGTGGGTGTGTGATCATGTGCACTAGTGGGCATGAGCGGGTGTGTCACGTGTGCACCCACACCCTCTCTCCTTCCCTCTTGCTGCCTAGAGGGCACACACCATGCCTGGCACTGAGCCGCTGACCGACAGCCACCAGCCCCATTGACTGGGTAGGACTAACCCTGAAGCCACTTTTCAGGACTTCTTATGGAGACGATGAGGTGGGGACTGCAGTGCCTCCTCTGTGGCACTCACCTGTTGTGGGGGCTTGGCCTCCGATACAGCTCAGCTGCCCGTGCGTGCAGGTGCTGTGAGGAGACAGTGGTCAGAGCCTCACTCTGGGCCAGCGGGAACAAGGGACCCCCCAGCCCACGGTAGGAGCTCTCACCAGATGGCCCCACTGTCGTGCACTGACTCCCCGCTGGGGATGACGGAGCCGCGGTGGTAGCAGGGACAGCTGGTGGCCGGCACACACTTGCCCGTGTCATCCAGCAAGGTGCCCTTGGGACAGGCACAGCCATCCACAGGGACAAAGTCCACACTGCAGGTGACGTCCCCCTCACTCAGGGAGCGGCAAGTGGGCTGGCAGGTGCTGATGTGGTAGTGGTAGGTCATCGACTTGGGGCAGGTGGTCATGGGCTTTGCTGTAGGATGCCAGGAACAGGGGATTCTCAGGACATGGAGCCCAGTGGTGGGCAGCCAGCAGCGAGTAAGCTGGGCCTCTCGGCTCCCCTCCCCTCCCCTTCCCTCCCTGGCCAGGTCCAAGGCCAGCTGACTCGAGCGTCCTTGCCCCGGAGCCCAGCACAGAGGATGGGGACCCTTAGAGCACCTGTGCAGACCAGGGGCTCCCCAAGACCCACAGCCACCCAGCGAAAGAGAGGCGTGGGGCTTGGCAGGCACTCACTGCAGACGCCATCCCTCCAGCCGCTGAGCTGCAGGCCCTTGGCGGCGCAGGCATGCACGTAGGAGGACAGGGTGGCACACAGGCAGTCCTCGCTGCGCTCACAGTTGCAGGTGTCAAACATGCAGTTCTGTGGGGAGGGGGGCGTTGGGGTGTCAGGGACGCCAGCCCGCACCTGGTGCCCTCCCACGACCTGCAGGCCACATGCCCAGCAGCCAGGGTCCTCCTATCCCAGCTCTTCCTGCCTCCGGGACCCCTCCCAGAGTCCTCACGGGCATCCGGCCCCCTCAGCAGACCTGCAGGGCATGGAGCAGAACCATCGTGGAAAGTAGCAGGTGCAAGGAGGACCAGGTCCTTCATCCCTGTGACCCAACAGCCCCAGCAGTGCCTAGCTTGCCCCAGACGTGCACATCAGCTCAGCCTTGGCCTAATTCCCATTTGGCCCCTGGGGCCAAGCTGGCGACAAACACCTGGGGTGTAGCCCCTGTGCCTACCGTAGGGCTGGAGGTGCAAGAAAAACTCCATAAAAGTGGTGAATGAATGAGTGAGTGAAAGAATGAATGAGGGAATGAGTAAGTGGATGAGTGAGTGAGTGGATGAGTGAATGGATGAATGAGTAGGTGAAGGAATTAGTGAGCGGGTAAATGAATGAATAAGTGAGTGAAGAAATGAGTAAATGAATGGGTGAGTGAGTGAATGCATGAGTGGGTGAGTGAGTGAATGTATGAATGGGGGAGTGAGTGGGTGAGTGGATGGGTGAATGGTGAGTGGGGACGTGAGGAATGGAGCTGGACAGGCTGAGTCCCAGCCCCTGGTGCCCATCACAGCCTAGAAAGGCTGGTCCTGCCTGCTGAGCCTCCCAGTGGTCTCCCAGCCCTCCCAGAGGCAGCCGTGAGGCCCGGTGGCCAGAGCCCCACTGAGCCCAGGGACAGCAGACGTTACCGAGTAGTAGGTGGCTGGGTTCACAGCCGCGTGGCAGCGGGTGAAGGGGCCGTCAGGGTCAGTCAGCTGTGAGCACCAGTGCTGAGCGTACTTCTCTGTGGACAGAGGAGGGTTAGGGTTAGGGTCAGCTGGCACACTCACCTACCCAGCTTGGCCTTGGTGTGGAGTTCGGGCACTTCTTCCTGCTACACACTCAGCCTGGGTGATATGGCACCGTCCCCACGGGAAAGCTCCCCAAGTACAGGGCACAATGTTGGAGCGGAGGTCTCTCTGGTTTCCTGGATGCCCCGCCCAGCCTCTCACAGCCTCTCACAGCACTGTCTTGCAGGGACACTAGTGACCACCACTGTAGGCAGACAAACCAAGGCCCTCCTGGCCCCTCCAACGGACTTGCTGGGCCCCGGCATCCCAGGCTGCAAGAAGGAGGGAAGGAGGCCACGACCGGTGAGACGGGATCCCAAATCCCCATGGCTGCTGCCCGAGCTCCGAGGGTGGAGTGAATGACTGAGTGACTGAGTGAATGAGTGAGTGGACGAGTGGGTGAGTAACTGAGTGGGTGAGTGTGTGACTGAGTGAGTGACTGAGTGAGTGGATGAGTGGGTGAGTAACTGAGTGGATGAGTGGGTGACTGAGTGAGTAGGTGAGTGTGGGTGGGTGAGTGGCTGAATGATTGAGTGATGGAGTGGGTGAGTAATTGAGTGGGTGGGTGACTGAGTGAGTGACTGAATGAGTGAGTGGATGAGTGGGTGAGTAACTGAGTGGGTGAGTGGGTGACTGAGTGAGTGGTGAGTGAGAGAGTGACTCAGCGAGTGAGTGGGTGAGTGAGTGATGGAGTGGGTGAGTAACTGAGTGGGTGGGTGAGTGACTGAGTGAGTGGTGAGTGAGAGAGTGACTCAGCGAGTGAGTGGGTGAGTGAGTGATGGAGTGGGTGAGTAACTGAGTGGGTGGGTGAGTGACTGAGTGAGTGGTGAGTGAGAGAGTGACTCAGCGAGTGAGTGAGTGAGTGAGTGATGGAGTGGGTGAGTAATTGAGTGGGTGGGTGAGTGACTGAGTGAATGGTGAGTGAGAGAGTGACTCAGCGAGTGAGTGGGTGAGTGAGTGATGGAGTGGGTGAGTAACTGAGTGGGTGGGTGAGTGACTGAGTGAGTGGTGAGTGAGAGAGTGACTCAGCGAGTGAGTGGGTGAGTGAGTGATGGAGTGGGTGAGTAACTGAGTGGGTGGGTGAGTGACTGAGTGAGTGGTGAGTGAGAGAGTGACTCAGCGAGTGAGTGGGTGAGTGAGTGATGGAGTGGGTGAGTAATTGAGTGGGTGGGTGAGTGACTGAGTGAGTGGTGAGTGAGAGAGTGACTCAGCGAGTGAGTGGGTGAGTGGCTGACTGAGTGAGTGGGTGAGTGACTGTGTGAGTGAGTGAGTGGGTGAGTGAGTGACAGAGTGGGTGAGTGACTGAGTGAGTGTCTGAGTGAGTGAGTGAGTGAGTGAGTGGGTAAGTGAGTGACTGAGTGAGTTGGTGAGTGAGTGACAGAGTGGGTGAGTGACTGAGTGAGTGAGTGGGTGAGTCAGTGAGTGAGTGACTGACTGAAGTAGTGAGTGTGGGAGTGGGTGATTGAGTGAGTGAGTGGGTAAGTCAGTGAGTGAGTGACTGAGTGACAGTGAGTGTGTGAGTGAGTGGGTGAATGAGTTGGTGAGTGACTGAGTGAGTGAGTGAATGTGTGAGTGGATGAGTAGCTGAGTGGGTGAGTGAGTGACTGAGTCCGTGAGTGAGTGAGTGACTTAGTGAGTGACTAAGTGACAGTGGGTGAGTGTGTGACTGAGTGACTGAATGAGTGGGTGAGTCAGTGATTTAGTGAGTGAGTGGGTGATTGGGTGAGTGGGTGCATGAGTGAGAGAGTTAATGAGGGAGTGAGGTGGTGAGTGATTGAGTGGATGAGTATGTGAGTGACAGAGTTAGGGACTGGGTGAGTGGGTGAGTGATAGAGTGAGTGGGTGAGTGAGTTGGTGAGTGAGTGGGTGAGTGAGTGAGTGGGTGAGTTGGTGAGTGAGTGATTGAGTTGGTGAGTGGGTGACTGAGTGAATTAGTGAGTGAGTGACTGAGTGAGTGAGTGGGTGGGTCAACCCATTCCCCAGGTCCCCACCGCCCTGTCCAGTACGGGGGTCAATGTTGGCCCTCAATAACTTCTGTCTTTCTTTTACCATGAAGCAGGGGCCCCGCATTCCTGAGGCTCCACATAAGCCGGGTGAGGTGCCCACCAGGAGCCTGTCCTAGGGCCCCTTTGTGAGCCACCCCGCCTGCAGCACCAGATGGAAGCTGGTGAACCAGCACCCCGCGGCCAGCACGAAGTTGAGCCAGTGGACGGACACACACACTCACCGTTCTCCACGCTCAGGGAGCAGGGATCCTCAAAGCTGTTCCTGACGTTGGGGCAGGCGGCCTGGGTCTTGAAGGTGTTGAAGAAGGCCGCGGCCGTGGCCTCCACCACCCCACTGAGGGTCCGGAAGTCATCCGCCTGGATGCTGTTGAAGTTCCCGCAGAGACCTGGGGGCGGGGAAGGCAGCTTGAGGACCATGGCCCCAGCAGAGTGGGTCAGCTCTGGCCCGAAGGCAGCCCTCTTACCGCAGGTCCGCCCTCGGAGCTCGGGTGCCAGCCGCACGAATAGCTGCATGGTGGGCACCAGCTGCAGGTCCAGCTGCAGCCCCAGGCTGGTCTGGGCGATGATGAAGAAGGTCGAGGGTCTGAAGATGGTGATGTTGGCTGGGGATACATAGGACAAGCGTTTTGTGGGGGGTGCATGGCAGGACCCCAGGCGGCCCCGGGGTGGGGAGGAGGCCGCCGCCCTCACCTGCAGAGATGGGCAGCTGGGTGTAGATCTGGTTCAGAAACACTTCCCCGCTGGCCTTGATCACCACCACCTGCGGCAGCCGGGCGGACGTGTGAGCACGGAGCAGGCCCCTCGGAGGCCGTGAGATGCACCTGAGGTGCCCGGAGGCCTTTGCCTCCAGCAGCAGGTCCTACAAGCTGGCCTCGTGCTCACCCTGATTTTCTGAGTTTTCTGTGAGAACCATGCTTTTTATTCTTTAGTAAAAACAGTTATTTATTAAACAGAAATGGGCTTCAGTGGAGAAGCCATGAGGCCACAGATGTGCCCACCCAGTCCCTCCTGCCCAAGGCCCCTTAGGTCAGCTATGGCGGCCAGGGAACCCCCGCCCTGAGCCGTTCCCTTTAGGGACAGTCAGTCAGTAACAAACACAGCCAGTGCTGCCGGAGGGCCCCGACTCTCGCTGTTCATGCCAAGGATGAGGGACCTGGGCAGGGCCAACTTTCAGAGGAGACAGGCCCAGTCCCCGTCCGGGCTGCGCTGCCAGGCTCCACTCACCATCCTCACTCCATCCAGGCTCAGTGTCACGCTCTTCAGGCAGGTCTCGCTGTCCGTCAGCCCACACCTACGCAGCTCAGCCAGCACGGTGAAGGTGCTGCCATCACAGGGCTGCGGGACAGGGCACACAGGGGCCCTCACACTCTGCCCAGCCCTCCCCTGGGGTCCTCACACTTGACTGCACCCACAGCCCTCCCTGGGGTCCTCACACTCCACTGCACCCACAGCCCTCCCTGGGGTCCTCACACTCCACTGCACCCACAGCCCTCCCTGGGGTCCTCACTCCACCCGCGCCCACAGCCCGCCTGGCCCTGCCCCTCCACCCGCCTGCGCTCCTCTCCCTCACTGGAAACCCCCACTCCACCATCCCAGGCCCCAAGAGAGAGGTGTGCTCAGGAGCCCCCCAGATGGGGACACATAGGCACACAGAGGACTCGGCATGCACCCTGGGTGAGAGACCATACTCTGTGACACCAACCACAGGACCCTCTGGGAAGGCAGCGCTTGGAAGGTGCAAATGCCAGCAGCTGCCAGGGGCTGGGTGAGGGAGGGGTGAGGACGCCGAGGGAGGGGTGAGGAGGCCGAGGGAGGGGCGAGGACGCCGAGGGAGGGGCGAGGAGGGTGAGGGAGGGGCGAGGAGGCCGAGGGAGGGGCGAGGAGGCCGAGGGAGGGGCGAGGAGGGTGCGGGAGCGGGGAGGAGGCCGAGGGAGGGGCGAGGAGGCCGAGGGAGGGGCGAGGAGGCCGAGGGAGGGGCGAGGAGGGTGCGGGAGGGGTGAGGAGGGTGAGGGAGGGGTGAGGACACCGAGGGAGGGGCGAGGAGGGTGCGGGAGGGGTGAGGAGGGTGAGGGAGGGGTGAGGACACCGAGGGAGGGGCGAGGAGGGTGCGGGAGGGGTGAGGACGCCGAGGGAGGGGTGAGGAGGGTGCGGGAGGGGTGAGGAGGGTGCAGAAGGGGTGAGGAGGGTGAGGGAGGGGTGAGGAGGGTGAGGGGGGGTGCCAGTGGACACACAGACACACTTCTACACACTTCATGGGTCTCATCATGGGAGACTGTGTTGGGTGCAGGGTCTCGTCCCCACTGGGTGTGGGGAGACCGTGTGTCAAGTCGGGAGTACTTTGTACCCAATGTCTTTGTAAACCTAACTCTATTCTCAACAGTATAGTCTGTTAAATAAACAGCTCAAGATTCGGAAGACTGGGTGCTGGTTGGGGGCCAGGGTGCTGGGTGGGTGCTGGAGGCTCTGATCTGCAGCCCTCATGGCCCCGTGGGGACCAGCACTGGGGAGCTGGGGTGCTTCCTTGAGGTCTCACTGTCAGGGACCCCCAAGGGTCACCCCAGGGATGGCAGTGACATACAGCCTGGGCTGGGGGAACCTATGGGAGGCTAGCCGTGGACACCCTCTGTCCGGCAAGCGCACGGCACACAGGCTATCCCCCCTCTGTCCTGCAAACACCCAGGCTGAACCCCCTCTGTTTGGCAAACACCCAGCACCCAGGCCATCCCCCCTCTGTCCTGCAAACACCCAGGCTGAACCCCCTCTGTTTGGCAAACACCCAGCACCCAGGCCAGGCCCCCTCTGTCTGGCGAGTGCTGTGCACCCAGGCTGTACCTTGGTCAGCACATAGCTGCAGTCCCCATGGACCGTGTAGTGCCTCCCATCAAATGTCGAGAAGTGGGCACCTCCAAGCACAGAGCAGGTGCCCGGGCACGGGACCTCCTGGCAGCTCCACCGGCCTCCGGAGCAGGTGCTGAGGGCAAGAGACAGTGCTGCGTGGGTGCGGGCCCCCAGGACACCAGCCACAGCCTCCGAGTCAGGAGGAGGAGGTCTCACTCAGGCCTGCCTGCCTCGCAGCCCAGACCAGGAGTGCCGGCAGTTCCCGGGGGACCATCCCATAGCATATCCTGGGGGCCTGGAGGGGGTCCGGGACCTACCAGTTGGTGCAGTCTGTAGAGTAGGTGGCCCCCGGGGCATAGACGGCCCCATTGTAGACACAGGTGCACTGAGACACAGGCACACACCCAGTCTGGCCGATGTCATCCAGCACCATCCCTGTGGAGTTCAGACAGGCCTGTGACAAGTCCCCACTGTGTCCACGCAGGGGCATTGCAAGGGAATGACACGGCAGCCCTACAGTGAGTGAGCTGGGGCCTCAGCCAGCCTCAGGGACTCAGGACAGGGCCTCAGCCAGCCTCAGGGGCCTGGGACAGGGCCTCAGCCAGCCTCAGGGGCCCAGGACGGGGACCAGCCAGCCTCAGGGGCCCAGGACACCTGGGGCTGGGGTCCTCTTGAGGCTTGGCCCTCTTGAGCACAGCCCCCTACTTCCCAGTGCATCTGTGTTTCCCGGGGCAGGAGCCTCACCCTCGGGGCAGAAGCAGCCGGCCACACAGTGGTCTTCGCAGGCCCGGGAGTGCTCCTGGTTGGAGCAGGTGTCTGCACAGGGCGAGCGGCACTCATGGTACTGCATGTTGTGGGGGCATATCTGGGCTGCAGGGGGCAGAGAGACAGATCATGTCGGCCCGTCTGGCCTTCCCTGCCAGAGGGGATGGGGGCCAGGGGGACAGGGCACTCACGGCAGAGGTCCGGGCCCCGCCAGTCCTGGGGCAGACCCCCAGCGTGGGCGCACTGCCGGGAGTACTCGGCAAGGGTGTGGCAGACGCAGCTGGACAGGTCGGTGCCTTCGCAGAAGCAGAGGTCTTGCCTGCAGGCCTCCAGGTAGCTGCCCACGTCCACCAGGGCCGTGCAGTCGGAGAACAGCCCGCTGCTCAGGAGCTCCTCGCAGATGCCCTGGGGCGAAGGCCGCAGCTGGGTGAGGCCTTGTGGGGGATCTGGACCAGCTCCCGGGCTCACAGCCCCTCCTCCCGCCCTGCTGGGGCCCCATTCCCTCCAAGGCTTACGAAGCCGGTAGAGCAGTTCCTCGGTGGTTCAGGGATAGGGTCGGGACACTGCTCCGTGGGACCGTCCATCTTCTGCAGGTTCCCAAACTCCAAGGGTGTCAGCTTGGTGTCTGCGGGAAGCACAGGGTCCCGGTACCCCTCAGCCCAGCACAAGCAGCAGAGCCCCCAGGGCCAGGTCCCTGGGGTGGGCTTAGAAGGGCCGTCAATGGTCCCTGCGCCCTCAGGATGCCTGAGTTGTCCTGGCCATCCCCGTCTGGCCACCCCATACACGCTGCCTCGGGACCCTCCGGGGCTCTGGAGTGATGAGTGGAAGCAGCCCAGGAGGCCGGTGTCCAGGCCAAAGGGTGCCGCCGGCTGAAGCCTCAGGACCCAGGACCCTGGTCTCCACCTGCCGGGCTGGCGGGAGCAGGGGGTGCTGAGCCTGAGCACCTTCCAGTCTACTGGCAGAGCCCAGTCACCCCAGTGCTGGCCTGCCTCACCAAGGGCTGCTCGACACCCAGGCTGACTCAGTTCCCCACGGAGGGTCACCCCGTACCGGGGCTTGAGTGGGGCCTCCTGGGCCTGGCAGGGGAGGTGGGGCGTGGGGCCCTGGCTGGAGCAGGTCACATTTGCAAGGCCACTGCCTGGGTGCAAAGACTCTAAGGCCAAGACGAGGCAGCTCTGTCATTTCAGGTGAGGGTGTGCGGTCAGGGGTCGCTGCCCAGAGCAGCCACACTGAGAGCAAGGGGCCCCACGGGCAATTTGCTGCCAGCCTGCACCCTGCGTTGGGTGGGGGTAGCGGGGTGTTGCATGTGAGTGTGCACCATGCTGGGGGGAAGGCACCTGCATCCATGCACGTGTGTCTGGTGTGTCGGAGGGTGGGTGTGCACACAACTGGGGGTTCTGGGACACGGGACCCCTGGGGACGCTGGAGAAGGGCAGATGGCACCTAGGGCTTACTGTGGGAGAGGAGCTCGCTGAGCACGGGTAGGCCGTTGAAGTCCCCGCAGAGCCCACAGGTCTTGTTGGCGTATTTGGTGTCCAGCTCCAGCTGTAATGGGGGAGACATCAGACAGGCGTCCCCACCTGGGGCAGGTGGACAGGTGAGGCTCGGGGAGGGGCTGGGGCCCCCGAAGGGGACACCCCCGCAAGCCGTCTCCATCCTGGGGGCACAGACCCCAGGGCCCCATTGGTATCTGGGCCCCTGCTCTCGCCTGCTGTGTGGGGTGGGGTCCGAGCCTGACTGGGCCCAGGGCATCTTCTACCCCCTCTGGAGCAGGCCAGCCACACCGGGACCCCCACCAGCCTCACCAGCAGGCTGTCATCGTGGTTCCACATGAGGACAAGGCCCAGCCTGGCTTCCACCTTGGTGTAGCTGCTGCTCTGCTGAATGAGGACCCCAGACTGGCTGAAGGGCAGCTGGACCCTGCAGAGGGAGGCGAGGCTGAGGGGCTGGGGAGCATGGTGAGGAGAGACCCCAGGCAGGGCAGGTGCCTGCAGCCTCGGGTGTGACAAGGTCATCATGGCTGTGACGTCATGTCTGAGATGGAGACACTGACCTCTGCAGCTCTGGGGTCACGAGGAGCTAGGAAGGGGATCCCAGGAAGAGCAGGTGGCCCAGCTCAGGGGACGGGGGGCCCATGGCCAGCTCTGCTCTCAGGGGCTTGCTGAGAGGTCCACCTCCCTCCCAGGACTGTGATGAGCCGTGACCACCCGGAAATGCCATCCGTGCACCCCAAGAGGCCCCCGCCCTCCCAGAGCCCAGGCTCACGGGCGGCCGTGGACCAGGACAGAGCCCTTGGTGAGCTGGATGACCATGCCGTCCACCTTCATGAGGACCCTGCTTAGCGTGGGGGAGCCCGACTCCCGGCTTCGGCGCAGCTGGACGTTGAAGTCCTCGTAGGCGGCGCCGCAGTGCTCAGAGAACACGTAGTTGCAGAGGCCCGGGAAGCGGAAGACGTCGCCGTCGAAGGTCTTGTAATGGAAGTCACCCCACGTGCTGCACACACGCCCGTTGTGCGCCGGATTCAGGGCTGTGGGGGAAGCAGTGTGGGGTCTGGTGGTGTCGCCCTCACCCCGCATCCCTGCCCCTGCCCCACACCCCACACCCTCACCGTGCATCCCCCACCCTCACCCAGCACCCCCTGCCCCTGCCCTGCACACCTGCCCCACCCATGTCCTCCTGGACGGGGCACCTGGAGGGTCCTTCCTGCATCTGGGAAATCCGGAAGCTTGTGCAGGGAGGTGCTGCGCCCTCTCCAGTTCCTACCCAGTGGCACCCAGAAAGCTGGGGCCCCTCTCCAGCTGGCACCCCCAGGCCTGAGCCAGGAGCTCAGCAAAGCTATGCCCCTTCACCCCCAGGCCTGGGGTTCCACTCACCTCTTACCACTGGGACAGTTCTCAGAGGCGGGAAGACAGTCACCCCTCGGAGCGGGACCCCTGTGGAAACAGCGGCTGGCAGGGTGCACACAAGGCCCCAGGTCGGGGGAAGCAGGGGCTCCACAGCCCAGAGGAGACATCCTCTGTGGGTCCCGGCTCCCACCTCCAAAGCCAACTCTGGACTCTGCCACGAGTTGGGCCCCCATCCACCACCCTCACCCTATCTGCACATCGTGTGCTGTGGCGGCACACCTGTGTTCTGTGTGACTTTCTAATTCCTCCTTGCTGTCACCGTGGAAAAGCCCCCAGGGGTGGCCAGATCTCACCCCACAGGCCTCAGAACCTAAGTCTGCATCAGCTGCTCAAGACAATCCCTTGGGCACTGAGATGAGGCAGGTCTGGCCCGACGTGGAGAAATGCAATCTAAGACCCATGGTCTGCCCGGAGCTCCTGCTCTAGCCTCCCTCGCCTGCCTCCACCGGCTCCCGCCAGCACCAGCCACTCGGGGTGGCCACGCCCCAGGGGACGTGATGCTAAAGCATCAGGTGGTGAACGGGGGACGCCAAGGCAGGACCCACCTCCAGATCCCGGAGGGCAGCCGGCACCCAGGGGACACCAGCACAGCCAGCCTGCCCTGCCCTGCAGCCCCTTCAGAGCCAGAGCCCTGCAGGGGCTGGCCTAGGGAGGGCAGGCAGTGTGGCCCACTAGGGCCATGGATGTGGACGTGGGGGTGCCCTCCTGTCCCCCCAGGTTTGGTCCTCAGCGATGACCAGCCAGGGAGTCACCCTAAGACCAGTGCCTCTGGGGGCTGTGCCACACAGGGAAGGGTGGAATCTGACAGGCTTAGGGTGGGGGCCGGATGCTGAGACTCACCGCCGGGCCCCTGGGCAACGGGAGGGAGGACGGGGTGGTGCTCGTAACTGGATTCCGAGGAGCCATCCTGGGCGTGGCCTGTGAGAAGAGGAGGGGGGCTCAGCTGGGATGCAGGGCGGCTGGGGCAGCTCAGGCTGCAACCACGATGCATCGTGGACACCAGAGGGACAGGAGGCCACAGTGTGTGGGGGTGGCCTGCAGCGAGGACTTTCTCTGTGCTGGATCAGGGGTCCTTGGGGGCCTCTGTCCATGTGACTCGCGAGTCTGACCTTCCAGGACCATCCCCTCAGCCCGGCTCCATGGAGCAGGTGGCGTTAGAGACCCCTTGCCTCTATCTGTGGCATCCCCATCTATTCGTTCCCATGCCAGGCCCTGGCTCCTGCCACTGCAGGGACCCCACTGAGAGCCTGGGGCAGTCAAAGCCACCCCCAGCAGGACCCAGCACATCGAATCTGTGGGTGGGGACCCTTAGCATCTGTAAGCCCCCCCGGGGAGGTGGAGACGGTGGTTGCCTGAGCCTCACTCACCCAGTCTGGCCCCAGGCCTGCCCCCACTTTCTGAGCCCCGCAGGCCTAGCCCCAGCCCCGGGAGAGAATTCAGGCTTCTGGGCTGAGATGGGAGTGGTGCAGATAAGGACGGGGGGTCCCGAAGGGTTCTTCCTGCTGTGGGACTGCCTCGCAGAGGGCCAGAGGCTGGGGACGGGGCTGGGGGTGGGTGGGATCCAGGTGGGCCAGAGGCTGGGGACGGGGCTGGCGGGGGGATCCAGGAGGGCCAGAGGCTGGGGACGGGGCTGGGGGTTGGGGGGATCCAGGTGGGCCAGAGGCTAGGGACGGGGCTGGGGGGAGGGATCCAGGAGGGCCAGAGGCTGGGGACGGGGCTGGTGGGGGGGGATCCAGGTGGGCCAGAGGCTGGGGACGGGGCTGGGGGGGGGATCCAGGTGGGCCAGAGGCTGGGGACAGGGCTGGGGGGGGATCCAGGTGGGCCAGAGGCTGGGGACAGGGCTGGGGGGGGAATCCAGGTGGGCCAGAGGCTGGGGACAGGGCTGGGGGGGGATCCAGGTGGGCCAGAGGCTGGGGACTGGGCTGGGCAGGGGACCTGGGTGGGCCAGAGGCTAGGGACGGGGCTGGGCAGGGGACCTGGGTGGGCCAGAGGCTGGGGACGGGGCTGGAGTGGGGGATCCAGGTGGGCCAGAGGCTAGGGACGGGGCTGGGGTGGGGGATCCAGGTGGGCCAGAGGCTGGGGACGGGGCTGTGGGGGGGGATCCAGGAGGGCCAGAGGCTAGGGACGGGGCTGGGAGGGGGACTTAGGTGGGTTAGAGGCTGGGGATGGGGCTAGGGGGGATCCAGGTGGGCCAGAGTCTGGGGACAGGGCTGGGGGAGGGACCAGAGGCTGGGGATGGGGCTGGGAGGGGAACTCAGATGGTTCAGAGGCTGGGGACAGGGCCAGGTGGGGGATCTGGCTGGGCCATGTGGCCACCTCTGCGGCGCAGGTCGCTGCCCTGCTGTTCCAGGAGCCCAGGAGCACCCACTCCCGACTGAGGCATCTCCTCCCAAGGGCACATGGTCACCAGCAGACCCATCCTGGGACAAGGTGTCCCCCAGAAGCAGAGGCAGGGACCTGCTGGCCCAGTGACGGGCTGTCCAGACCACAGGGCCTGGAGCCTCCCCCATCCCCCTCTTAGCCTCAGGCTGGGGGCAAAACCCTTCCCCTGTAGACTTCACCATCACACCCCCACTCAGAGGCTGAGACCCCCCCCAGGAGACCCCCACCAAGGCCCAGACAGGGAGCATGAGCTGGTGCACCGGGCACGTGTGGGGTGTCCAAGGGCAGATGCCTGAGGCTGATGCCCCGCCCTGACCAGGTCCTGCCGGGCTGTGAGCTGCCGGAGCTACTGCGGGTGCGGCTGCCTATTTCGGAGGGGTGCAGAGGGGAAGCCTGAGACCTGAGCTCCTGCTTCCCCACCTCAGGAAGTGGCCCAGCCTTGGAGGTCCCTGAAGCCCAAAGGTCCCTTCCCAACCCCACAAGGTAGAAACTGCCTGTTGGTGGCCAGGACCACAGCAGAGGCCATGCTGCTGGGAGCAGTCCGTAGCACAGGCAGCCTGCCGGAACCCAGGGCAAAGACGGAGCTGCCCGAGGCCCACTCAGCACCGCACCACCTGGGACTAGTGGAGGGGCCAGGGCTCAAGCCATACCTCTATGCCCGGTGCAGGCCAGGGCGAGAGCCAGGGCCCAGAGCAGGCCCAGCTTCCTCCGGCCGACACCCATTGCATGGACGGCAGGAGGAGTCCCCGTCCCTTGGCAGCCTCTGAGGAGGGACCTGAGGTGGCAGCAGCCTTTTGTAGCCCCAGAGCCGGCTCCAGCCCGTGCTTCTCATGGATGGGCGTGGCAGGGCCTGTGCTTCCCCCCTCACCCAAGTAAACAGTGGGTACTCACTGTGGGCTGGCCAGTGGCCGGTGGCAGGCGGAGAGGGGTGTGTCTGCCAGGTAGGGCCCAGTTTCCAAGGGATCCCCCAAGCCCTGACCTGCAGAGGTTCCCCCCTACATATCCCATCCTGGGCTCTCCCTGGGCAGCCTATGAGTTCGCAGTGCCCTGAAGCCGGCCACATGCTCCCCACTGACATGGTGCCAGCCAGCATCACCCTCCCCCACCACGCAGCTCCCTCCCAGCATTGCCCAGGAGTCCACCTGCGCTTCTGTCTCCTGGCCCCAGGCGGACAGGGCCAGCTCAAGTCACATAATGGTCTCTGGCCACTAGGATCCAGGCGTGCTCAGTACCCACCAGACAGGAAGCTGGTGACTGGTCCCAGCACAGAAAGGTCCCAGTGAGTCTTGGGCCTGATGGGATCTGGCTGAGAAGGTGCCGTTGTGTGATGAGCACTTGCCCAGACCATGGGTGTGTGGCTGGACACTGGGGCCAGACTCTCCCTCCCAGGAAGCCACACACTCCCCAGCCAAGGTCAGCAGCTCCGCTGCTCACGTGGAGGGTCCACCCAGGAGGTCCCCCGTGGGAAGAATGTCAGGAAAGACAGAGGTTGGGCTGGGCCCCCTGCCCAGCTACAGAGGGTAAGGGTCAAAGGGGTGCCTTGAGGCTGTTCTGAGCACTCGATTCCAGCGCTCCAGGGACCCGTCTCAAGCTCCTTACAGTCACCTGTTTCTCCATTTCTGAGCCTTTCCCTCCCCATGTCCTGTCTTAGCTCAGGTGCCTGGAGAGAGAACACTTCACATGTGGGAGGAGTGCAGGGAAAGGGAAAATGAGTGGGTAAATGAATGAGTGAACGAATGAGTGATTGAGTGAATGAGTAAATGACTGAATGAGTGAATAAATGAGATAAGGAATGTGTACCTGCATGAATGAGTGAATCGATGAGTGAGCTAGATTGAATGTGAATGAGCGAGTGAGCAACTGAATGAGGGATTGAATGAACGAATAGGTAAGTGAATGAGTAATTGAATGAGTGAGAGCGCGAATGACTGACTGAGTTAATGAATGAATGTGAATGACTGAGTGAATGAATAAGTGAATGAGTGAGTCAGTGAGTGAGTGAATGAGTGTATGAGTAAATGAGTGAATGAATGAGTGGGTGAATGAATGAGTGAATGAGAGAGTGAGTGTATGAGTGAGTGAATGAATGAATGAATGAGGGTGAGGGAGGGAATGAGTGAGTGTATGAGTGAATGAGTAAATGAATGAATGAATGAGTGAGTGAGGGAGGGAGGGAATGAGTGAGTGTATGAGTGATTGAGTGAGTAAATGAATGAATGAGTGGGTGAGGGAGGGAGGGAATGAATGAGTGAGTGAATGGGTGAGTAAATGAAAGAATGAATGAGTGGGCGAGGGATCACACTGGAGGCTGAGTGACTGATGGGGTTAGGTGGACCGCCCCAGCCACTGGTGCTTCAGGAGGTCTGACCCGACCAGGTGTAGCCAGGGTCCCCCGCCCTGGCCCAGGACTGGACACCAGGTCTCCTGGTGCTGTTGAAAGCTGAGGGTCCTGGTAGTGGACAATGGGCCCCGTGGTGAGGTCAGATCCCAGGGCCATGCGATTATGTCAGCAGGGCATAGGGAAGGCCTCGAGGGTCTGCAGGTGTGATCAGGACCCTGGACAGGGGTGCGTGTGACTGCCCACAGGCCTGCCCTCCTTATGCCCTCAGATAGACAGGAGGCAGCGGGTGAGCCAGTGTCCAGCCCCCGGTAGAGGACAGGCTGAGTCACTGGCCCAGTCCTTACTGTGACCTCTGACCAATCTGAGTCACCAGCCTGGCTCTCAGAGGGGAGTGCCCCCTGGATGTCTGAGGCTGGCCAGGCCCTGGGGCAGCTGGTCAACTGGCCACTCAGGTCTTGCCGTCTCAGCTGTAGCCTTCCTTCTCTTACCCCGAGCAGATGCCACCCAGGGCCACTGCTGGGGTCCAGTCTGGGGGTGACATCCCCCTGTCAGCATTGGTGACCCCTGGCTGTGCTGGGCATTCTCTTGGAAACTGGGTTCAAGCACCCAAACCACTGGACATGGGCCACCAGCTGACCGCCTGGTCCCATGAAAATCCCACCAGGCTGAGGCTGCAGGAGGCCTGAAGCCAGTGCCTGCAGCTCCCGGAGGTTTCCAGAAAGCCTATAGGGCCTTGTTTCTGAGCCCTGGAGGCGGGTGGGGGGAATTCCTGTGTGTCCCCAGGGGAAGCAAGGTCCTGGTGCCCCTGGCCACCCCACAAGCCTCAGAGGGGAACCTGAGGTGGTCACTGCAGGCTACCAGGGGCTCTCAGAGGATGCAGGCAGGGCTGGCCGAGCTGCAGCACAACTACCTGGCTCCTGGGAACCCTCCCTGAGGCCTAAGGCTCTCGGAATGCGTCCGGGAGTCCCACCCACCTCAGGGCTCCACGCAGTCTCCGGCCCCCTCCGTTCCCAGCCCCCCATCCTGCAGAGAAACCTTCCAGCAGAGGCCCTGACCAGGCCGGCTGGATCCTTCTCCCAGCCTGGGGCCCGAGTCGGCTCTGAGGCCAGCAGCCAAGACAGGTGTAGGCCCCGTGACTTGGCCTCAAAATCAGGGTCACTCTCCCCCGAGAGCTTCCGGCCCCCGAGGCAGCTGAGCACAGCACGTGCATCTCAGAGCCCTGGTGCCCCGGCCACCCTGCCTGCAGCACCGTCCATTTCAGTGAGCACAGCTGCGCGTGTGGCATGGGCGGGCTGCGGCAGGGCCTGGGGGCCGGTGGTCTGAAAAGCAGGTGCATTCCTTAAAGCAGACCCTGCCTCAGCCCCCGAGATGGGTGATGACCCCACTGGGGAGGAGTCCACCCTCCTGACTTGAACCTCCATGCTCAGGTGAGAGGCTCTTTCGGGGAAGGTGTGTGCCTGGGACCAGCAGCCGCCAATCATCTGGAAAGTGCTCGCAGGAGGAAGGTCTCCAGGGCTTCTGTGGGATGTGCCAGAGGAAGGCCGCACATGGGGATGGCACGTGGGCTCGGCGGGGACCACAGCCCCTCGAACTTCACTCTGCACGTCGGTGTCAGAGGCCCCACAGCTCCAGTCCTGGGCAGCCACCAGTGCCCTCTCTCCCCAGGATCTGACACATGAATGCAGACTTGGGAGCACTGGAGGAAGGACGGGGTCACGCCCCGATAGGAGCCCCCAGCCAGGCGTTGCCGTGGAGAACAGGATTGGGACCGATGGAGGCCCAGCCGCATCCCAGGGCGGTGCCGTCTCCTGCCGCCAGGTGCTGACCCCCACTCTGGCCCCCCGAAACTGGGGAGAAATCGCATGGGATCGCCATTCTTCCTGGGTGACTAACTCCAGTGACATGAACCCCAGCCCACACCGCATCCTGCGGGGAAACCCCTGTGGATGGCTTTGGCCCCACACAGCTGAGGGAACAGCCTGCGGTGACCTGGGGCCACTTCCCCTGGAAGAGGAAGTGAAGAGGGTCCCATTCCCAAGGACTCCCCAGGACCCCCCAAAACGCCCTGGGAGCCCCTCAGACACCCCCACAGGTGTCTACATTCCAGGCTCCTCGGCCCCACCGGGCCCAGCGGACACTGTTGGGGGCGCCCGGCCCAGTCTGTCCTCCAGCGGCATCAGGGGAGGTCCCCACCCAGCCTGGGCCCAGCCATGACCCCCTGGCCTGGTAGTAACTGACCAGGTGAGCAGGGGTGGGAGCCACTGCTTTTTACATCGCAGGCAGTGGCTGGGATTGCACTCCGCCCCCTGCCTGTCACTGCCATCCCGGTTTCCCGGCACAGCCCCAGAGAGGTGACCTGCAGGGCCGCTGTGGTCAGCCTGGCTCTGGCTGGCGGGACCTGGGAAGGCCACACCCTCCCTGATGCATGAGGTGGAGGGCAGGGGTCAGTCTTGGGGAGGCCACGGGAGGGCAGCTCCACACACCTGCCCATATGGGACCCCAGGGCTCCGTGGAGCAGACATCTCTCCCCAGGCGGGGGTGGCGTTGGACTCCGGCAGCAGCCACTGCGGGCCCTGAGCCCGCACAGTGACCGGCACATTATCCTCCTGTGCCTCAGGCCCCCATCTGTAAAATGGCTCATTTAGGGCCCACTGCTCAGAGCCCTGCTGCCCAGGGGGGGACCTGGCCATGCACCCCCACAGCATCCAGGCGGGGCTCAGTGCCAGCTCGCCCCACGCTCCTCCTAGATGTGGGGCCACTGGAGGCCTGCAAGGCTCCCGCGTCCTCATCCACAGCACGGGGAGGGGCCTCCATGTTCTGCCATTCCCGCCACCTCCACACATCTGAACGTAGCCTCTCTCATGCCTGGCGGTTCAGAAATGATGGTAGCTTCCCACCTGTGACCCTCGGTCTCACCAAGGCGAGTGGCCTTGGGGTCCGGGACAGCCCCTGGTGGCTGGTGTCCTGGGGGATGTGGCAGAATTGGGAAGCCTGATTAGGCTCAGTGTGGGAATTGGAGAATTATTTCACAGAAAGACAATAGAGCTTCTCCGCGCTGGGACCAGGAAACGCAGAAACGCTCTGGCTTTGGAAGGGGCAGCGTCCAGGGCGGGGCTGGGAAACTGACACAGGAATTATCGGAGGCTGTTGACAGAAAGCACAGGTTTCAGGTGGATTTTAACCAAGCCAGGAACTTACACAATAGGAGGAAGGAGTCTTACGTTTCTTCCCGGCTTTACCAGGGGCCCGAGGGAGAGCCGTGGGGCCATCCCCGTGGCAGGTTGGGCGGCCCCTGCCTGGAGGGAGCTGAGACCCTGCCGGGCCTTCTGGGTGGGGAGGGGGCAGAGTAAATTTGGTTTTGCGGCGGGGCTGCGTGATCTGTAGGCTTCCCGCGTATATTTGTTTTCTCTGAATCACTGGACAAACAGAATTCCTCCC